GGTCCGAAACGACTCCCCACCCGGCATTGAAAGTGGGCCCCGAGTACCGCCCAGGCGCGCCCGGCCCGGGTCGGGCGTCGCCGGCAGGGCGTCGCCGGCAGGGCGTCGCCGGCAGGGCGAGCGTCGCGGCGCAAGGCGGGGCGGGGCGGGGCGGGGCGGGGCGGGGCGGGGCGGGGCGACGCCGCTGTACCCGTACGAAACACCTTGGCTGAGAGTGGTTTGGATCTAGTCAGAAAGTTGTCTTACGATCCAGACGATTTGGAGACAGAGTTCAGACCGTCTCGAGAGCGTTTGAAGACAATCTTGAGAGCAGACCAAGACAATAGTAAGACGAGTGAGCCAAGCGAGCGGTGGGCTGGATCGCGGGCCAATGTGGTCTCTCAACGGTCGGAATCGCGTCTTTATTTGGAACAAATCAAGACCGAGTTCTGACGGGATTCAGACGGGATTCAAACGACGCTGAAAGAAGACGCCAGCGCGCAGCGCGTGGGGGAAAAGAGAGGGCTGGACCGAGCGGGCTTCGAACCAGCGACAGACTACAACAGCAGTCGTGCCAGTGGTCGAACCCGCTCGGCCAAAGCGGATACTGCGGAGCGGTGCTGCGAACTGAGCCCTAGAGTCGCACCTCGCACGCGCGGAAGTGATGTTGTGTTGTTACTGACACTTGAAGAACTGCTGAGGGTTGGAGACAGGCCATAAACAGTTTTACGCCACGAATGGCCTCCTTTGTTTTACCAGTGAACGCATGCAGTACTATTTAAATTGCCGCAAGTCTTTAGAAGTTCACAATGTCTTCAAGAGCTCTTCAAGTGTCAGTAACAACACAACATCACTACCGCGCGTGCGAGGTGCGACTCTAGGGCTCAGTTCGCAGCACCGCTCCGCAGTATCCGCTTTGGCCGAGCGGGTTCGACCACTGGCACGACTGCTGTTGTAGTCTGTCGCTGGTTCGAAGCCCGCTCGGTCCAGCCCTCTCTTTTCCCCCACGCGCTTCGCGCTGGCGTCTTCTTTCAGCGTCGTTTGAATCCCGTCTGAATCCCGTCAGAACTCGGTCTTGATTTGTTCCAAATAAAGACGCGATTCCGACCGTTGAGAGACCACATTGGCCCGCGATCCAGCCCACCGCTCGCTTGGCTCACTCGTCTTACTATTGTCTTGGTCTGCTCTCAAGATTGTCTTCAAACGCTCTCGAGACGGTCTGAACTCTGTCTCCAAATCGTCTGGATCGTAAGACAACTTTCTGACAAGATCCAAACCACTCTCAGCCAAGGTGTTTCGTACGGGTAGGTACGGTACTGTAAGAACTGCTCCGCGCCGTCACTACAAAACAGAAGGTAATTGCCGGCGGCCAATTAGAGGCCAGCGCGCGCGTGGGCGGAGCGGGCGGAGCGCGACACCAGCCCAGGCCCTGCCAGGCAATTGCCGCCAAAAAATGTTAATCTTTCGTACAGAGTAAAGAAATAATTGTTTAATATTTTGCTGGTGCGGCGGCCGCGGCGTGGTCAAGCCCGGCGCGCTGGTGGTGGTGGCAGCACGGCGCGGCACGGCCCCTTGGCTGGCCTGGCTCTGCCTTTTGGAGGCCAAGGTGATTCATGGCGTATTGTGCCCATTTTTTCGGCGGCGACAGGGAATGAGTTGGAAGCGGCGTAGTCCTACCTGGAAATATGACCCCCCCCCCCTTTCCCCCTTCCTGCTTGGCGCGCTTTTTTACGGCGCCCTATGAGACAATCAATCCCGCTCTCGAGCTCCTTTCCCCTCTCCCCGCTCTCTCTCCCTCTCTCTCTCTCTCTCTCTCTCTCTCTCTCTCTCTCTCTCTCTCTCTCTCTCTCTCTCCGCCCCCTTTTTGCTACTCCCGAATATATTAAAGTCCCGGCGGCAACACTCGTCGGCCGCGCTTTTACCAGGGTCGTGCCAAACTCGCGGGGGAAGGAAAAACTAAAAACGCGAGTCATTTTCGTGTCCTCCCGTGACCGACCACACCAGCATGCTGTAGCAACGCCCCCGAGGAACACTTGCCGTAGAGTTGAGGAATGGGCCAGCCCGGCCGGGCTGCGGGCTGCGCAGCGCTACCGCCAGCCCAGCCCAGCCCAGCCCGGCCCAGCCGGCCCAGCCCAGCCCGCGGGCTGGAGGGCTGCTGCCTCGGCTCGGCTCGGCTGGGGGGAAGACGGACAGACGCGGATGACGAAGACAGTCGGGCACCGGGCCGGGCAGCAAGCGACGGGACGGGAGCGAGCTAGCGAGCTGCCTGCGGCGCGGCCCAGCATGGCGCTGACGTCACCACGCTACCGAGAAGCGCGCTCGGAAATTTGAATCACATTGCGAATTGTAACTATTTGGTGAGGCGAGGAGCCCTTCCATGGTTACGATAGAGTGTTTACTGTTATGCTCTGTTGTCATTCATTCAAAATTTCGTATCTCGTCTCTGCCCTCTTCCCCCCGGCTACTTCGGCCAGCACGCCGGCGGCACGGCCACGGCTCGGCTCGCCCGGCGGCCGCCGCCCGCCAGCCAGCTACCCAGGCCCGGCCTGGCTCGGCTCCGGCAGCCCGCGGGCTGAGCCGAGCCCGTGGGCTCGGCCATCTTCGGCTAGCCCAGCCACCTTCGGCGACACGGACTGTCACAGCCGATACCACTGCAACAGTGGCGCTGGCCCGCCGGGCCAACCCATTCCTCATCTCTAACTTGCCGCTTCTGCTTCGTGACTGCAGGCACTGGTCGTCACGCTTTTGGCGCCAAAATGGGGTCTCGTGGAAGAAATTCAAATTGCGCACGCGCCGTTGGGGCGTTATTCACTTTTGCATACTCGCAGTGCCATGTGCGAGTGCAGGAGCGTGTAGAAGCGTGCAGAAGCGGAAACGAATGAATTTCTTTTCTCGGCGTGCGTGTGGCTGGCGGGCAGGCGCGGGCAGGCCAGTGCACTATAAGAAGGCAGGCCGGGTGTAGCGGTTCAGCGACGCGCAATCATTCAAATATTCCCGCCCCTCCGCGCGCCGCCGCGCGCCGCCACGCCCCTTCACGCCCGGAGGCACCGCCGGAGCATCCTAGAAACCGCACACTATATAACGCAAGAACAACGACTGCCTCACGCCCCCTCTCCCCATCTCTCTCCCCATCTCTCTCCCCATCTCTCTCTTCTTTCATTTTTTTTCAATTCTGTGTGAATGGCACAGGCCGCCGCGTCGGGCCGCGCCGCGCCCGCTTTGTAGTATAGTAGCAATGGCCTCGCCCGTTTCGTAGTTTCGGCACGAATCCGGTGTTCCTCAAGCAGTTCCTGCCTGGCGCGGCCACCACAACCAATCCTGCTTTTGGAACTCGATGGAAATTGATTTTTTGTTTTGTTTTCCTTGCGCCGTGAACTTTGCTGCCCCGTGGGGCCACGTCCTCTCTCGCCGCGCCCTGCCAGGCCCTGCCCGCTAACCGCTGCTTGATTATTTTTAATCCAAGAAGTGGCCACTAATAAAGCCTGCACCGCGCGCAAACGTGACGTGCAGATCTTTGTGCCTGTCTGTCTGTCTGTCTGTCTGTCTGTCTGTCTGTCTGTCTGTCTGTCTGTCTGTCTGTCTGTCCGTCCGTCCGACCCTTTGGCGCCGCGGTTCCCACAGCGGGCAATCCGTTTTTAATAGCAACTGGAGTCCCTTTCGGCTGCAGGCCACTGCAGGCTGGCCGGCCGGCCGGAGCGACAACGGGCGACGCAAGATGGATCGCCGAACACTCGGTGCCCACTACCCCGGCCAGCCGGCCGGCCCTCTTTCTCTTCGTTTTTCTGCCGCCCATGTTGGCAACACGCTACGGCTCCGGAATTTCATTTTTTCCCCCGCGCGTTCGTGTTGGTAGCTCTGCAGCGCCGGGCCACGCCGCGACGCCGCCACGCCGCCACGCCGGGCAGCCCATCCATCCATCGGCCGGCGGACAGTGTCGGACACTGAGTGCCTCGCAGTGCCGCGCTGGCCAGCCGGCCTCAGGCGGGCAGGCAGGCAGGCAGGCCGCCGGGACTTTTACTTTTCGCCAAATATATATCACCTGCCCGGCAACAACGGCCCGACCGACGCTCGCCGCCGTCAAGTACCTCCAGCGCCAGTTTGCGAGGATGACTGCAGGCCATTACGGCCGTAGCGAGCCGAGCCGAGCCGAGCCGAGCCGGGGCACCGGCCGGGCCGAGCCGAGCCACCGTGGGTGAAAGGAAGGGCTTATAGCGTCTGCTGGCTGCGCCGGGCTGCGCGGGCTGCAGGCTTCGGGAGGATGATGATGATAGCAGTGTGTGTGCCGGCGGGGCAGCGCTGCGCAGCGCGTGCAGTTTCTTCAGCAGTTTTCGACATGTTCGGCTCAAACGCCTTCCCTTGCTTCCCCCGCATCGCGCAGCTTGCCCGCGCCAGCCCGCGCCAGCCCGCGCCAGCCCGCGCCAGCCCGCGCCAGCCCGCGCCAGCCCGCGCCAGCCCGCGCCAGCCCGCGCCAGCCCGCGCCAGCCCGCGCCAGCCCGCGCCAGCCCGCGCAGCATCCGACAATCCGGCGCGGCTGCTGACGTCACCGCGGCGCGCCGTTTGGGGAAATACTTGTTGCAGGCCTTACCAGTGCAGGCCCGGCCACGTCTCCCGAACTTGAAGCGAAACGCACGCGTCACTCGCCTCGCCATCCTGGGCTTCCTTTCCCCTTTCCCCTCCCGGGTCATTTTCAGCGCCGTGTTATGTCATTATTGGCAGGCAGGACGAAGATGCCCTGCCGACCGGTGACCGGCTGGGACGATACCTTGGCGCGCACACACGCACACACACGCACACACACACACACCCAACAGCGCGCACTCACGCGCGGTCGCGGGGCCGCGGGGTGTTTGGAGAAAGCGCGCACCATACGGACCATACGGTCAGGGGGACAGGCAAGCTGCAGGCGAGCTGCAGGCAGCACACTGCAAATAAGCTAGCCGGCCGTATTTGCAGAGCCACTTGTTTGCAGGCTGACGCCGGGCTGACGCTGCGCTGACGATGCGCTTTGTTGTCTGTTGCAGCACCCTCCCACCGATACGAATGCCGGCAAAGGGGAGACGGAGGAGGGTCTCATGCGACACTTCCACAGGGTGAGTCCTTGCGGCCCCCCGCCGCCCCGCCCACGCTGCCGTGTTTGTTTTCCCTCTGTCGCTCTGTCTCTGTCGCACTCACGGCGAGTGCCCTCGGGGTGCGAGAGAGACAGGGCGAGGAGTGCGGGCGGCGGAATCGCTCGACTGATAAACCCGGCGATAACCTGTGCGTCCTGCCCGCCAGCTGATTTCTCTGGAGCCGGTGTCCGAGGCCGAGGAGTTCCCCGTCCCCGGTGGGGGGCTGGTGGGGCTGGGAGGCCCGCTGGGGGGCTCCCTGGGGGGCCCCCAGTCACCCCTGTCGTCCGGGCCGTCCTCCCTGTCCCCCACCCCCGGCATCGGCGATGTTTGGAATGACGTAAGTACAGTCCGCACAAACGACATGCCTGCCCGATTTGGCGCGCTGAATTAAAACATTTTTCTTTTGCGCAGCTGGCGGCGGGGTGCGCCACGTCCTCGGGCGGCTCCCCCTGCTCGCAGGGCGGGTCGTCGGGGTCCTCGTCGCCGGGCGGCGAGTCCCTGGGCGAGGGCGGGTCCTCGTCCCCGGAGCAGCTGGGCGCGCACTCGGTGCTGTACTGGCAGCTGATGCGTGACCACCTGCAGCTGCAGCGGGCGTACCAGCAGATGCAGCAGCTGCAGGCCAAGAACAACGACCGGCAGGCGCGGGCCAAGCTGGAGGCGCAGGTACTTACAGTGTACTCCATCCTCCGTCGCCGCCGCTGCGCTGACTCACGCTTTTGCCCTGCCGCTCCATTCCGAACAGTGCCCTCGTCGCTCCGTCTCTCTCGCACTCCCGCGACGTCCCGTAGGAGTGCGAGAGAGAGGGCGCGGCGACGCCCGGCTCGGATTCAAACTGCCGCTCTGCCCCCAGGTTTACGACCTGAAGCGCGCCCTGTCCCGACGGCCATGCCCCGCGCTGCCGGCCCTGGCGGCGCAGACGCACTCGCACGGCGCGGCGCTGGCCGACGCCCTGCAGGACGTGGTGGAGCTGCGGCAGCGCGAGCAGGCCCTCACGGCCGAGCTGGCCGAGCTGCGCGACCAGAACGAGCTGCTCGAGTTCCGGCTGCTGGAGCTGGAGGGCATCGTGGACAAGGTGAGACCGTGTGAGACCGTCTGGCCGGACCGGACGGAGACCTCAACGCCGGAGGCAGCGACAGTTCCAAGCGCCTGCGAAGTCCAGGGCAGGCCGCCACGCTGTACCGCGCTGCTCGGCGGGACTGCCCGCCTGCACGGGGCTCCCTCGGTGCGTGCGGTCGACGTGCTCTTGGCTGGGCCGGCCGGCGCGGCCCACGGCAAGGCCCACGGCAAGGCCCACGGCAAGGCCCACGGCGCGGTGCTCCAGATTCCGCTTTGTAGATGGTAGATTTTGGCCATCGTGCCGTTGTGGCGCGTTGTGGCGTTGCGGGGCGCCCCGTGGTCGTCGCCCGCGGCCAAGTTGGGCTCTTTTAGGTCGCGTCGCCCATCGGGAAGGAGCGCCTGGGAACGGCAACGGCCTCGCCGCGGCCTTTCAAAGCGCCTTTCGGCAAGAGTATCATCCAGATTAAGAACTAATGTTTTTTTGAAAGGGAACGAGTAGCTTTTCATGTTTTCTAGGACGAGATTGAATGGGTAGCGCTGATGGCGCCGGTGGAGGTGCCGTGTGTGACGGTGATGGTGACGTCGTGCTGCTAACGGTCAAGGCTGCCGGCCACGACAATGAGGCGCACGGCGAGGCGGGGCGCCGTAAGTGCGGCGCGGCGCCGCGGAGATACGGTGTGCTGGCGCGCTGCTGGCGCGCTGCTCCAGGCGAAGGGGCAGGCCGGCGAGGCAGGCGAGGCAGGCGAAGGCGCCCGGGAACGCGGTGATCTTTCACGGCGGTGCCCCGGCCTGCCACGGCCTGCCCCGGCCTCAGCGGGCCGGGTTGCCCTGGTGTGTGTCGTCCTCGTTGTCGTCGTCGTTTCGGGTCGCGCGCGGACGACCCGGCTGGGAGGGGCCGGGTCGAGATTCACGCTAACGCTAACGGGGAGCCTCCGCGGCCAGACCACACCGCACACCGCCAGGCCGCCACCGCCAGGCCACCGCCAGGCGACGCAGTGACACCTGCAGCAGGTGGTGCTTCGCCTGCTCCGCCTGCTTTGCGGTGGCTGCGGTGCGGTGAGGCGCGCGGCGAAATGAGGCGCCCAAGAAGGAGGCGCGCCAAACCAGCCAAACGGACCAGGCAGTGCTTTCGTCGCTCTGTCTCTCTCGCACGGATGGGCTGCCCCGTGAGGGTGCGAGAGAGACAGGGCGACGAAGAGGCGTGTGTCGCCCGCCAGCCAGCCATCACCTTGGCGCGCTGCTCCGCGCTGCAGCGCTGCCCGGCATGCCGCTCAAATAATTGCCCCAAACTCGGTCCGCGGCACGCCGCGCACGCCGCGTGAGTCACCAGCCGAACCATTCCGGAGGATCGCTGCGTCGCTCTGTCTCTCTCGCGCCCCCACGGAACGCCGCACGAGTGCGACGGAGACTGAACGACGAACCACAGTCCCTCGGGATGGCTCGGCTGGGCTAGCACCTGCCCCTCGCGTGCCTCGCCGTCTCGCCGCGTCTTTTTGCCGACGTAGTTTGATCCGGTGACTCGCGCTTGGGTTTCTTCGCCTCCATTCATGTGGCTTTATGAGCCACAGCGCGCCCCTACGACGTCGTCCTCGTCGTCGGCCAGCGCCTGTTCCGAGCAGCGCTCGGGGGACGGCCCGTGAGTGCGAGAGAGGCAGAGAGATGGTAGCAAACTTTTGGCGAACGTTTTTAATTCGCCGCGGTGGTTGATTAATTTCCATCCCGAAGGCCTCTCGGCGTCGCCCATCATTTCCACGGCAACGGTGGACGGCAAGCAGCCGGACTAACTGTACGGCACGGCCGCGCGCCGCGCATCCGTTGGACAGGTTCCGAGGGAGAGAGATGGAGGAGGGACGGGATGGGCGCAGCCTCGGCCCTGGGCCGCCAGCCAGACCGAGATGGAAGATGGAAGCGCTTATTTTCGTCTATTCCAAACAGTTAGGCCCGGCCCGGCCCGGTGCCGCGCGCCGCGAAAGGAGGAAAGAGGTCCCCCATTTAGAATCGAGCTCCCTTGCCGTGTACCCGCGCAGCGGCGGGACGCGGTACGTGACGCGGACGGACCTCCTGGGTGCGGCGGGGCGCGGCAGTGGCGTACCCGAGGCCGTGGCGTGGCGTGGCGGGGCGTGGCGGGGCGTGGCGGGGCGTGGCGGGGCGGGGCGTGCCCATTGTCCCTCCGCCACGCCCGTCCCGCCCCGTTCCGGATCAGGCTGCACCGATCGTCCCTGATCAGATATGTGACAGATAATTGTGAGTGATTATTTCGGCCGTCGTGACAGGGCAGTGCCGCGCTGCCGCGCTGCCGCTCGGGTCGGTGGAGGGGGTTCTAATTGTGCCGGTGACCCACATGCGGGCCCCGAGGTAGGCCAGCCGCGGCACAGGTGCGCGTCGCGGCGAAGCGGTTGCCTACCCGCGGCGGCGGGCCTGGCCTGCCGTCTGATTCCGAGCACTGCTTTCGTCGCTCTGTCTCTCTCGCACTCATGGGGCGGTCCGTAGGGGTGCGAGAGAGACAGAGCGACAAAGCAGTGTTCGGAATCAGACGGCTGGGCCTGGCCTGGGCCTGGGAGCGCCGGCCCCTTCCCGTCGGCTCGACGTCGGCTCGTTTCAAATCCAATTGGGTCGATTGAGCGCGCGAATCGAGCGAGCCCGCTGGCCGGCCGGCCGGCCTAGAACACATTGGGAAACCGCGGGCAGGTGGGCTGTGTGCGCCGGCCGGCCCCGCGGCCCGCGGCCCCGAAGCCCCGCCCGTCCGCCTGTCTCAGTCTCTCGTCCGAGGCCCAATTCATCTCTGATACGTGATGAGCTCTGGCAGCCTTTCACCAGACCACTTCGCCCCGCCCCGCCGCACCACGCCCCGCCACGCCCCGCCGCACCGCGCGTACGTATATGACTCTGCCAGACCTTGGCAATGGAGATGCGAATTGGGGCCCGGTCCATGCCCGGTCGCGCGGGCGGCCCGGGACTCGGGACTCGGGACGGCCTCTGCGTGCTTGCGGCCCTCCGGTCCTCCAAAATAGGACGCTTTGGCCGATGGAAAAAAAATTCTTCAGTGGGGAGTCGAACTTGTGACCCTACTATTATAAGTGGAGACTTGAATTTAACGCGCTCGGCTACCGTGCGCTTTGGTTGCAGAGCTCGGTGTGCAGCGCCACGCGGGATGTGTGCACCGACACGGAGAGCGACACGGTGACGGAGGACTCTGGGCTGCTGTCGCTCGGGGCCAGCGACGACGGAGACAACCATGCCGGCCCGACGCACCAGCAGCACCAGCAGCACCAGCACGGCGACGGCGCGGTGAGTGTGCCATGAGTGCTGGGACCCAGTCGGCGGCGCGTTGCTGCGCGTTGCCGCGCGTTGCCTCGCTCTGCGCTAAAGTCGGCATCCCTGAAAGATGGTCGCGTTGCAGGCCGTGCGGGACAAGCTGGCGCTCCTCGCCAGCTCCCTGGAGGCCGAGGAGGACCGGGGCTGCCTGCAGAGGGCGCTGCAGCTCCTCGACTCGTACCAGCAGCAGCTCAACAAGGTGGGTGGGTGTGGTGGCCGGCAACAACAGAAACAATAACAACTACGCTCTCTATGTTTGGACATGTATTTATTTTGGTTTTCATTTTCTCTTCTTTAGGACGCTGCTGCCAAACCGCAGAGTCCGGTCAAGGCACCCAACCAGAGGATCGTGGCCACGGTGCTGCCGTTCACGGACGTGGCCGACGACGCGGAGGACCTCCCCGACGCCAAGCAGTCCAGCAGGGACGAGTTCCGGCGCAAGCAGGAGTTCTTCAACCAGATCCAGCGGCTGGGCGGCAGCAGCGCCAACGCCACCAACGCTGCGGCCAACAACAACAACAACAACAACAACAACAAGAACCTCAAGCACGCCGACTGCCTCCAGGAGAGCGGCATCTTCGAGGAGGACTCGGAAGACGGCGTGCTCGCCGACCTCGCGAGCGCCGCGACGCAGACGGAGGCGGCGTGGGCCTGCAGCTGTCACCAAAGCGCCTCGCAGTGAGTACCGAATACCGAGCGGCCGTGCCGCCGTGCCGCTGAACCTCGACTGCAGTGCTGTTAACACTGTGCCTTCACCGCCATGCCAGGTCTGCCGCCGCCGAGACGGACGCGCCGTTCTCGTCCCTGCCCGCCTTCGGCTCCACCGCGAAGGCGCACCCGGCCGCGCCGGCCGCCACGGGCGCCCTGAGCGCCGAGATCCAGAAGCTGTCTCAGATCAGAGAGCGCTTCGAGGAGCACGGCGCGGTCACCAAGCTCAAGGTGCGTCTCGCCGCTTGCAGAGGCAGCTTGCTTTTGTCGTCGCTTTGAAAACGAGATTTGTTGGCCGCTGAACACGTGGCGCGAGGCTGATGTGCTGCCTGTCCACAGCGTCCAGAGGCACCGGCCGCGGCGCCCTCCGCGCTCGGCGCCACGCAGATGCAGCTCAAGATGCGCGAGCTCGACTTCTTCCGGTCGCGCGCCGCGCTGCTCGAGGACAAGCTGGCCGAGCTGGAGCGCTGCTCGGACCCCGAGCTGCGCGGGTGCGCGCGCCTGCTGGAGAGGGTGGCCGCCCTGGAGCGCCAGGCCCGCGAGGCGAGGGAGGCTGCCGACCTGCTCGTGAGGAGGAACCGCGACCTGGAGGAGGAGCGCTGCGAGCTGGAGGAGGCGGAGAACGACACCAGGCTGCGGTGCCAACAGTGAGTACAGTGCAGTGGGGACGGGGAACGGGGATGGCAGTGGAGAGAGCCTCATTACCGCCCGTCGCGGCGCGTCGTTGCAGGCTGGAGGTCGAGGTTGTCCAGCTGCGGGAACGCGAGGGCGCTCTGGAAGTGGAGCTGGGCCGCGCCCGCCGCAGCCTCAGCGCTGCCCACCAGCTGCAGGGCCGCCTGGAGATGGCGCTGCAGTCGCTGGAGACGCGCAACTTCGAGCTGGAGGAGGCCGAGTGCGAGCTGAGGGCCTCCATCGCCGCGGTCGAGTCGGCGCTGCCCGCCATCGTCGCCTTCCACCTGGCGCACTACAAGCACTACCTTCAGCAGGTGAGGCGCGCGCTCGGTGTCAAGCCGCGTGGCGGAACCTGCCGCCGTGCTCACCGACTGCTTCGTGTTCCGCAGCGCGAGCAGCGAGCCGCCCTGCCGCTCCCCGCCCCCGCCCACAGCGTCTGCGCGGAGGACGCCGACGAGGAGTTCGTGGACGAGGTGGACGCCGCCGCGCCGCCAGCCAAGAGGGACGACAGCGAGGTGCTGGAGCGCCTGGCGCAGCTGGTCGCCGCCGAGCAGGACATGCACCAGAAGATCGCTTTCCTTGAGCAGAAGGAGTCCGCCTTCCAGGAGACACTGGCCGCGGCCGACGGGCTGTGGACCGAGATGGAGCTCAACTACAAGCGGCGCCTGGCTCGGGCCGAGGAGGCCGAGGAGGAGCTCAGGAGGAAGGTGGGTCCCAACAACCGTTCTATCTTTATCGAGGGGAACTTTGGTACGACTCTGTAATTCACGACGGCAGAGACACGCGTAGATTTCAAAGTTCTTCAAAATTAATGAAATTCGGGTGAAATCCTTTGAAATTTACTCTACTTCATATTTTGTCGCAACTCGTCTTGAAATTCGCGTAAGATTCATCCGCAATTGCAAAGTTTTCAAGTGATTGGCCCTCGGGTTTGTGTTTGGTGGTGGTGGCCGACGCCAAGCTGACCGGTGCTTGTCTTCCCCTCCTAGGTGCGCCGTCTCGAGGACTCGGAGAGCAAGCTGCGGCAGGCGCTGGCCGACCAGGCCGCCCTGTCGGAGCGCGTGCACGAGCTGGAGGCGCAGGAGCGCGTGCTGTTGGCGCGGATCCGCAGCCTGGAGCAGGAGAAGCAGGCCGTGGCCGAGGAGGCGGACCGCTTCCACGAGGAGATGAAGGCGTGCCGCGGCGCGCTGCAGGCTTTGCAGGAGCGCGTCGACGGCCCCATGGCGGAGGAGGCGGCGGCGGAGCGGCGGCGCGCGCTGGACCTGGCCGAAGAGCTGCGCAGCAGGCAGGACGCGCTGGCCGCCATGGAGCAGCGCACCAACACCGAGGTGAGTGGCGGCGGCCAGGGCGGCCACGTGACGACGCGTCGCCTTTCACTTGTTTCTTTCTAACCCGCCCATTCTCCGCAGATCTCGGCGCTGCAGTCGCAGATTGCGGTGGGCGAGAAGACGATGCAGGACATGGAGGTGACGTGCGCCGAGCTGCGCGAGGAGGTGGACACGCTGGAGGAGGCCGTCGGATCGCTGCGCGCCCAGCTGTCGGCCGCCCACGACAAGGCCGAGCGCGACCTGTTCCGCGTCGAGTCGGCGCTCGCCGCCAAGGACCAGCAGCTCGAGGAGCTTCGCCGCGACAAGGAGTCGCCGCCGCCCGCCCTCAACGACGAGATCGCCGCGGCGGCGCAGGCGGCGCAGCAGCCCGAGGAGGACGACGACGCGGACGAGGCCAAGCCCGCGCCGCCGTCCGTGTCGCTGTTCCGGAAGAGCCTGCAGGCGTTCCGGAACTCGGAGATGATGATGATGATGACGGCGAGCAAGCCAGCCACCCCGCCAAAACCCGTGCCAAAGAAAGAGACTGACGGCAGCAAGGCCTTCGCGAGCTTGCCGCCGATGCCGACGGCGCCCGCGGCCAAGAGGACGCCGCCGCCGCTGCCCCCCAAGAACGTCCTGGCCCTCAAGTGGCCGCGCAGCGACAGCAGCGCTGCCAGCGGAAGGTGACGGAAGGGAAGGGGCAGTCCGGGGCGGCTCGCCAAGAGGCCCACGTCGACGATGTACATAGAGGGTGGCGCGCCGCGCTGCCGCGGCACTGGCCGCACGACCAGCGGGGACCGTCCGGGCCTCGGTCCGGGCCTCGGTCCGGGCGGACCAGGAGCCAGGCGCCCCCCAGTGCCAACGCTAGGCAGCGAAGCGCAGCGAAGCAAAGGGAGCGCGGAATAGAAGGAGCCACCAGCCATTTCGTTATGTCTAATTACCGATAAGAATAAAGATACTTCTCTCCTTACACTGCGTTTGAGTTTTGCATTCCCCTGTCCCGTCCTTGTCCCTTGTCGCGGTGGTTTGTAGACTCTGGAAATAGGAAACCAAGCAAAAGCGCTCCATGCAGCGGCATAGGCATATCGGGACGGGCGACGAGGCCTCGCCTCGCCTAGAGTGCCTAGAGTCTCAGGGGTCATGTAGCTTCGCCGCCTGCAGACTGCAGAGTAGGCCACCCATCCAACGTGGAATTCCCCAGAAGTTTGTCATACTCCGCTTTCGCCAATCCGGCTAAATTTCTCATGCCGGCTTCGGCGGATGAGGGGAGTGGTGGCATGTGGAAGGGGGAAGAGGGGTCACACCATCTTCATCAGCTGCACCTCTTTGGAGATGTCCCTTTCTAGTTTCTAAGGTGCTATTCTGTCGCAAATTTTCATTTTACACCTTTGATCTTACCTCACATGACGACGAGGACTTTTAATGGCAATTTAAAAACTTTGGAATTGTCACACGTCATTCTTAAATATAGTTTCGCTGTGTAATGGCAGTTTGGTCGTCAACTAACCAAACTCCTGTCGTCAGTCAGTAAACATGATGTCTCTTTTAAACTCGCAAAGATGCATTATTAGGTCATCAACTAGTATCCTGAAAAGTAAGTAGTATCGTTTGTTTTACTTCTGTCTTGTCACTTCTTTACTGTGTCTGTCATTGTTGGCCACTGTGGATTTTAATTCACCAAAGCGACATAACCTTAGTACTCTCTTAATGTTACTTCAATCGCCGTTATTTAAAAAAATATTAAATGCATAGTTACATTTTTCTCCTTTTTTCAAGAGTTATTATTTTTGTCCCTAGCCACTACCTGTTTTAACTCTCCTTCCATCGTCAAATTTACTCAGACTGTATGCTGCGACATTACTATTTGCTTTCCATTTCTATCTGGTACCATTCATTAAGTTACTTTTTGTTGTTGTTTGATGTCAAACTAGAAACATATTTTTACCGCATTTTTGATTCAGTGCTTTTCCTGAGGCTAAGTTATTAGTTGATGTCATCCATTGCCAATATTGCTCTACATTATTCTAATCATCTTCTTGTGTGTGATATTTTCAGGCTACAACACACAATGGACTTTGAGAGAATACAGAAGTTTTCCTCATCACAAATTATCATCCTCAACCAACCTGTCATACCCATATGTCGAGAGACATGCATCCCTGTATGGAACACAGTTTTCACCCCGAGGATTTCTGGAATGTGAGAGTTGCCATGAATGCACTCGTGTCGCAACAAATGGAAGTGTGGTATTGGTTCGTCAGTTTCATGTAGGATCAAGATGTTTGGACAAGGAACCAGCCAAAGCCTCATCAAAAGTTGAGGAGACTGTCAATTTGTTGAAAGGAAAAGCTAAGGATGAGGCTGAGTCCAAGGAGCAGCAAGTTGTTCCTAAAAAACCATTATCAACACGCATTATGGATGAATTGAAACATTATTACCATGGTTTCCGACTGCTCTTTGTAGATATAAATATTTCCAGAAAATTAGCCATGAAGGCATTAAGAGGACAGACATTGAGTCGTAGAGAACACAGACTGGTTGGTGTTAAAAATTTTATCTCTTTCAGTAAAGAGTTGGTTCGTAATGTATGTTAATCTTCTCTATTTCTTTGTTAATAGTTGGTGCGGACCACTGGTGATATATTTCGCCTAGTTCCATTTTCAGTGTTTATCATTGTTCCTTTTATGGAGTTACTTTTGCCTTTGTTCATCAAATTCTTCCCTGGCATGTTGCCATCCACTTTTGCATCTGCAAAAGACAAGGTAAGGATTCTTGTTAGCTGGACATCATAACAATTTATAATTTACCACTTAGCAAGATTGAGCGAGAGTCAGAACACTTACCTGTTCTTTACATTTATGTTTCAGGAAGCAGATATGAAAAAATCTTTGAAAGTAAAACTTGAGATGGCAAAGTTTTTGCAACAAACTCTAGATGAAATGGCAGTGCAGGCCAAAGATAAAAACCATTCATCTACTGCTGCAAAACAGTTTGCGGAATTCTTTGACCGGGTAATGTAGAAAGATACATTTCTATACTATAAAAAATGTTTTAAGTATTTTCATTTTTGCTGTGGGACAGAGTGTTTATTAATTAATTGTAAATTTAATTTTTCAGATGCGCAATTCTACTGAGCCAATTTCTAACCAAGAGATGATCAAATTTTCAAAGATTTTTGAAGATGAAATCACACTTGATTCTTTGTCTAGACCTCAACTTATTGCCTTATGCCGAGTGCTTGAAATCAAACCTCTTGGCACCAGCAACTTCTTAGTCTTTCAGCTTCGCATGAAACTACGAAGTTTGGCTGCTGATGATAAGGTATGATATAACATACAATTCTATTTCTTATGGTTACTCTACACATATTTTCTGGATTTAAAAAAAAAATTGTTGATTTTACTTTTTAGATGATACATCAAGAGGGTGTTGACTCTTTGAATGCTAGTGAATTACAACAGGCTTGCCGTGCAAGAGGAATGCGAGCTTATGGTATGTCAGAACAGAGATTACGAAGCCAACTTGAGCAGTGGTTAGATCTCAGCTTGAATGAAAAAGTACCACCATCACTATTGCTCCTGTCTCGAGCTCTCTTGCTTCCTGAGACTGTGCCTACTAGTGACCAACTCAAGGCCACCATCTTTTCTTTGCCAGACACTGTTGTATGTATCATTTCAGAATACTTTTACACATCGTACTTTGTAAGTGCAATTACAATCTTGGTTTTTTTAAAATTAGATAACTCAAACGAAAGCAGCTCTTGGTGAGCGTGAAGGTAAGACCGATAACTTGACCCAACTGGAAATTTTGAAAGAAGAACAACGCAAAATCAAGGAGGAACTCGAGGAGCAGCAAGAAGAAAGGGATCGCCAAGCAAAGGTACGCACAGTTCCTGTCTTTATTTGTTGGTATTTCATTTTATTTTGTTTTCTACTGCTCAAAATTAAAACCTTCATTTTTAGGAACAACAAGAGGTCTTGGTGGACTCTGCCAAAGTTCTTACAGATGGTGCAAAGCCCTTGGAACCAATTACTGATGTGAAAGCAGCAGTTCCCATTGGTGTAACTGAAACTAAGAAGGAGGTACAAATGCAATGTCATCTACAATTTTGTTGCTGGAATGTGGTCAAACTGACCTATTTTATTTATTTCTGAGACTATACTTTGGCCTTACTTTTGTAGGAACTTTCTGCATCTGACATGGAAACTTTGGAGGATGCCCTTGATTCATTGAGTCAAAAACGAAAGAAGTTGTTAGTGGAGAAAGAAGAACTTGAGGATCTGAAGGAAGAAATGGCAGATTACCAGGAGGTAAGCATCATGTCATCTTTCATCTCAGACAAACAGCAGGTGCTACAAAATTTGCTTATTTTTTCTATCATTTCAGGATCTGAGAGAACTGCAAGATGTGTCAGTTGGCTCTGGCAAAAAGGAGCCAGTTGTGGCAGAATCCAAGGCAGCCAAGCGTCTTTTCTCAAGAGTTAGTAAGATGATAAATAATATGGAAAAGGCTCTGTTGGATATTGAGAAGAAGAAAAAGCAAGAAGTTCAAGAAAAGTATGTGTTCATTTGATAATTTTGTGAACTAACTGGCAAAGATGCTTTCTTAAAATCTGTTGCCTTCACACAAAATTTTGGTTTGGTTTTCAGAGAGGAAGTTGTTGCCATCGATGATTTAATTGCTACTATTCAACAAATCCAGAAAGTGCCCGACGATGCTAAGCTTGAAAGGCTACAAGAGGCACTTGCAAAATTGGATGACGATAAAGATGGTGCAATTCCAATTGATGATCTGCTTAAGGTATTTGCTGTTAAACCATTATTGTGTTTTGTTGTTTTTTGAAACGATTTTCTTACCCTCCTCTTTATCAATAGATGATTGAGTTAATTGGAAATGACCAGAGCGTGAAACTATCTGATAAACAATTAGATGAATTGGCTCTTCTTCTGAAACGTGAGGAGACTTTGCTTTTAGAAGACCAAATTGAACGAGCTCTAGAAAAGCAGTTTATACAAGAAGAGCAGAAAGATAATTCTAAAGCAAGCTCAAAGGTAAAACAACTGCCTTTCTGTGGTCATTAGTTGTATTTGAATGTATACAAGTGTTATTTTTCTGAAACTCTCATACTCACTTCTATTTTTAACAGGATTCTACAGAACCAACTTCAGCATCCCAAAAATCTCCAAACCCACCACCGAATCCACCTCCATCAGGAGCAGTGCCTCAGAAATCTTCAATATCAGCGAGCACAAGCAGTAAAGAAGGCACATCACCAAAACGAAGTTTATGAAGTTAGTGCTATCTGTGATGAATTATAAAAATATGTGTAACTAGGAAATTTGAATTGAGTGCTGACTCCAGGTCATTGGGATTTGCCATCTAGAAACACAAAACTGGCAAATGGTCTGAAAGACTGGAAATGGGTTTGTGCAAATGAGTCGATCTTTCACTGAATCACTTTTGACAATAATGTTGACCAATTCCTTGTTAAATTGGTCTTTAGTTAAAGTGAGTTTATAGTCAGAGGGCAGGACAGTACTTATATGCGCTGAGTGCGATGAAATCACATTTCATTATGTTAATGAAAATCTCTTTGCGTACCTTTTTCTGTAATGTTGTTTACTTTACAAGTTTGGCTGTCAAGAAGACCAAAGTTTTAATAGCTCATGCTTGTTTGCCCTATGGAACAGACATCATAGTACTGGTACTTTCAGCAAGGCACTGTCTATGTTCATCTGCTACTTTGTCAGAAGCACAACATAAGGCAAGTACCGTGCCCAGCAAATAATGCAATTGTCTGGTCTCTTTTCCTCAAATAGAAAACTATTATTTTTTCTGACACAAATAACTTTTTTTTTTTAAGACCTCCATTTTATTAAATTAGTTTCTCTAAGAAGTTGATTTTTCAAATTCTTGACTTATGGTTTTCTCATTTATCCTGCTGGCCAGAGTGAATGTAAGGGAGGCCTCCCTGTAATCAGTTCAGGTGCTGTTCAGATTCACCCACATCAAGTTTTTCTTCTTTCTTGTTTTTTTTCCTTTTTTGAGAGGTTACTTTCCCTGAGCTTGTATATGTGTACCTTGTCAGATTGCTTATTTTTATTGTAATAATTTAATGTGTCTTGTTTATTTATGATGTACAGACCTCCATGAGCATATGTCACACCCAGAGTAATAATGATGGTGGCGGTGTCATGGATTGTATGATCTGTTTTTCTCTCATGAGTTCCAGATGCATTGTTAATTCAGGAACTGGGTAGATTCCAATAGTTCTTTATTACTCCTCTTTATTAGTTCAGGCTTTGGTTTATGTTAAATTTTGCAGTGTCTAATGTTTTCATCCCTATTTTATTAATGTGTCTTGGTGTTCTCTATACTCAAAACTGACTATACATTTGAAATACTTTTAAATTGTTAAGTTTTCCATAAAACGAAATCATTTGAACTATTATTCATGTCCTTGAGGGCATTTTGCCTTCTGTTGTGTGGTGAAGCAAGTTTGAACTTTTATTGTTATCCAAGTGGATACTCAGAGGGACACCAAGCTCTGCATGCACTATGCTTTTTATTAAATGAAATGTTTGTCTACCCAGTCTCCTCCAAAGGACTGTGATGATTCGTAAATATAAATTTGTGTATTCAGTTAATTGTTCTCTGTACTGTATTATAGAAGTGTTTTTGAAGGTCGATCCTGTTCAGGAGGTGGGTTTTAGGTTCTTAGTCAACCATGGGCTTAGATTTGCCATTTTGATGTGTTACACTGGCAACCTCAAAAAATTATCTTTCTGTTGTTATGTGTAAGGTGGTCAAAAATAAAAAAGCAAAGAAAATTCTCTGCTTTTCTGTCAAAAGAAAGGAAGAAATTTTTGTTACCGTTAGCATTAAAGGCTTACTTTTTATTTAGTTTTTCATCTACAGAAATCCCTTGTCACCCAAATATTTTGGTGGGAGCCGACGGTCGGAACTCTCACGCACCTTTAGAAGGGAGGGAGACAGACGAGTTTGCTATTATTATAACCAGGATTGCCTGCAAGTGCTGGCCCTTACAGAGCCGCGCCTTCAAGGTAGGCCACCCATTTGACGCGCCGCGGCGGAAAATATGATTAAGACCCAGCCGGGAGTTGAACCCAAGCACTTTTAAACCACGACCGACATCTCAACCCACTGGGCCACACCTGTTTGAACAACCTCACGATTTTTTCCCCTGTGATGAGGCAAAAGAGTTTCCCCCAACCAGAGTGTCACTTGAGTGTGTGGTTCATTATAAGAAGAAGGCAAGAAGAAGGTAAGAAGAAGGTCAAGTAACACCAAACAATTTCTACATGACAAAAAAATGGCACTTTCCTTTATTAACAGCTCTTACGAATGAGCAACATTTTACATGGCATAATTAATACAATAATATCAGACCAAGAAGAGGTGACTAAGTTCTCAAACCTTTTGTGACTATAGATAACACTGGTAAGAAATTAAGAATACAAGTTTAAAATTGGCTTTTGGAAAGTAAAAAGTTTTAACAAAACCATAAAAAATGAAAACACAAGGAGAGAATCCACCCAAGAAAGCTACATTGATTGGTCCGAACTGAACTAACATATTCAGTAAATGAATATATAAGCAATATATCACTGTACTATTACAGTTAAAAACATTGGAGATGCCTGGATTTTGAGATAAAATGGCAAGAGAAGATGCATGAGTCTAAAATAATACAAAAAGATGCAACATACAACACACCATAGATTAACTACCACAATAGTTTCTTGACACTGAATCCCACAAACGCCTAAATTCCATTAAAAGTGATAAAAGTGAAGAAGTCCCTAAAATGTTGGAAACATGCCATTGCAAATACATTTACATAAGAACTGCATATACCATTTCATTGATGTAAGTAGTCAGTTTCTGATCACAGATTTATTTTTTACCTTAACCCACTGACAAGAAAAATATAACAATAATACTCCCTATAACTGACACAACAAAATTAAAACTTTCACTGTGATGGGTCAACCCTTGTAGATGCTATCCAATAAATGTTACTAGGAAGTTCACAGTTACCAAAGGTGCTTGGGTTCTAAAGACTTAAAGTACCATATTACCTTTAATATCACCCTCATTTCAATATATGCATATCCTATGATGAGCAGAAAGATATAAATATGATTATAAGTCTAATTTCTTTTCGTTGCTTTGTAAACAAGAAGAAGAATCACAAATCAGAACTTTCATGAAATTGAGGAGATTTCCTAAGGAGCTTTCTATCTAAAGCAAAGTCTCAGGTATGTGTTTACACAGTAAGCTAGTAAATCCACAGCCACAAACATCAAAGATACAGGATTCAGTTGGTTTAGAATCAAACTCTAAAGCAAAATAAAAATGCTTATCTTCACTTCAACCTCATATTTACAGTCGAACAAAAATTAACATAATAAAAAAAAACCTGAATATGCTATGTGTACTACTTAACTTGGTCATTACTTAAAAATAAATCATACTGGCAACAAAATCCTTTCATGGAGGTAAATCACAGATTCACAGAACCAAGTTAATAGCCTGTATAACTTTTCTAATGCTAATACCCACAGCAAATACAGAACTGCTTTACTGAAATTCATAAAAGAAAATATAGCCTGGACTACAGCTTAAAAATTGACAAATGGAATTACTTTACATACTGTAGTGAATACATGTGGCTTTCATTGAAAACTGTACATTAGCAGAGAGAGGACACACTTTTTAACAGACTATCTGTCATACACAACACAAGTAATTTAGTTGCCACTAACATGTAAGAGGTGGACAGTGCAAGCGTCAGAACTGTGTTCACAAGTGTGGAGTCCTTTACAAATTTACAGAACTTACTAAGAGAGAAAGTTTAAAATGACAGAATAAATTTTTCATTTAATACATATAATTCATTGTTTGCGTTCTCTGTCGGCTCTATACCCACGTTCTCGTTCTCGATCGCGGTCGCGGTCGGCGCGGTCGGCGCGGTCCGACCGAGGGTGGGCTTCACGCGCTTCACGGCCCGGCAGCATGCGGAGGACATGCTGGCTCGGGGACACGGCGGTCACCATCCTGAGCAGCAGCACGGCGAGCACCTTGTCCAGCGGGTCCATGAAGCCACGCTGCACCCACTTGGGTATGGTGGTCCTGGCGTGGGAAAAGCCCAGTTTCTGGAGGATGTAGTCTACTCCATACGGCTCAATACTTTTACCAGCCCATGACAAAAGCCTGAAAAGAACAAACGAAGACAAAAATTGCTTTAGTCTTAGAAAGACCAACATTTATTGTTGTAGTGAAGACCATTTGGTTTTGTTGAAAGTTACCTGACTGTGGGTTCGAGATGCCATGTATTGCAGTGGTAATTCCTCCAGTCTTTAGTGAAAACATCAGCAGGATCAAACCCTTTACGTTTGGGCTCACCATCTGATGAAGTAGTGCTGTTACCATTGCTATGAGCACTTCCACTTGGTGACATTTGCACATCTTTAGATTTCTTATCAGGATCTGGACTACTTGCTCGGAAGCCACTCTGAGCTTGTACAACCTAGATTTAAAAAAAAAAACATAATTGGGTTCAATAAAAGAAAGGCACCTCAGAATCAATACACTATTGAAAATACTCACCACTCTTTCTTTCTCTTTGACATACGAAGTAATTAGGTCATGGAGAAAGAAGAAAGCTTCAGCATCTACTGTCACAAATATGTGGTCCTCAAACTCAGTAATAAAACTACATTCCACGACAGGCTTGCGATCTGGAAAGGCAAAAATATTATAAAATTATGGTAGAACACTAAGCCCTACATCAACTTCAGATTTGATTATAGATAAATTGATTTACCTATATTATCAGGTGTCCTTGCTGCTTGGAGGTGCTCGGTTTTAATGTGCAATTGGAGTGATGGGAGGGCAAAAATAACTTCTCTTGTGTGATTGAGGTCCTGTGGCTTTGTGGTTGGTCGAGATCCCCGCCCTGGATCAGCATTAAGAGACTCTGTTCGCTCTCTCTCCAAACTAGGAAACTGGTCCACCGCTGTAACAATAATGTGCAAAATGTAAAAAATGTAAAAACAACGAGGTGAAAAAATGAGGGATGTGAAACCAACAGTATTATTAAATACAATACAAGCAAGGTGGTGGTGGTGGTGGTGGAGGTACACAAGTCAACTCTATGCCATTAAAATAATAATAACAAAATCAGTTTTACTCAAGAAAAAAAGCAGTCAATATACAGGTGGGGTCTACTGCCTGTCACAGAGATCATTCATCAGCATTGCTAGCACTTGGAAAGGCTGCCTAATGCACTACCCAAAAATCTAAACAAGGACTCCATAACACATACCTTGCTCTGTTGCATCAAATGCAACGAGGATATATGGTTTTTCATGAAAAGAAAAATGAATCTTTTAAGTAATTGTCCATAACTAAACCATAAATGACAACTTTGGGGAAGCCTTAATAATTTCTATCAATTTCAAAACCATAAGTTTGAAAAGAAAATTGAGAGAGACAGATGATAACATAGTCAGAAGTTGGAAATGCTTTGTTTCTTCTTACCGTCCATTTCACTGTTTACAAAGGCATAGTGGAACCATTCTTGAAGAGTCTTAAATTGAGGCGGGAAGAGAATGTTTCTTGACATGCGGCAAACAGTAGCCATGCTATGATGCTGTGCATGTGCCGCTTGCTCAGCAGTCATTCCGAGGCTGCATGTGAGTGTTTGAACAACATGAACGTCCAAATGGTCAACAGCTGAAATAAAAGCACAGAGTACATAAGCACTTAACTAAAAACTGTTTGGTTAAAAGAAAATTAAAAAAGGACCAACTTTCACTTGATGGAACTTCTTGGGCCTCAGTTGCAAATGAAATACACGGCTCTTTCAACGAAAACAGGGCCCAGCTTTTTGATTTGAAATTGATGCCATGGAAACAGGCAAGTGATATATGACTACCATGTAGTTCCATGGTGCCACCAAGCACTGAGCCAGACTGTGGCAAAGGAATGCGCAGCGTGGGCAGTTGAAGCCCCGCTACATGAGCTAATGCGCCTTGCCAATGACGATGATGACGTGCATCTTGAACTGACCACGGGCCACCACTTCCTGAGCCTGAGAACAGCAAAAATAACTCAATCAAAGCAGTACATTAACCCATCGGGCCCACATTATAATTCTTGAAAGACACCTACTGTCCGTGGATACTTTTTTCTGACGTGGTTGACTGTGTCCAGCTTGTTTCTTGCGGAATGAAGCTGAGCGCGCTCGAGGTTGCAAAGAGGAGAAAACACGCTTACTGCTCTTAAACTGTTGGCTGAAAAATTCTTCGAGTTTGTAATACATTTTGAGCAGATCAGCTGTGGTTGACTTTGAAATCATTACTTGCAGCTGGTCCCATCCCATGTCACCATGCATGAATATCATAGCTGGCCTGCAAAGTAAAAGAAAAACTTTAGTGTAAATAGGGACTTTTACAATTTATTTTTTTTATTACACGTTGGACACGTTAGACTAAAGATGCTCATTATTACCTTCTTGTAGGGTTTGCAGAATCATCAGAATGTTTCTTGCTTATCTTCCATTCATCCCGAAGTGACACATCTAAAGCACTTACACGGCTCATAAGAACTCCTGTACCCATATAATCGAGCCGCAGCTCCAATGCAAACAGCTTAAGTCCTACTTTGTGGTCAGGTTCTGTGCCAGGATCCTCACGAATATGAACTAGAAGAATAAAATTATAATATAAGTGATCAGAAAAAGATATATGTCAGAAAATGATGGTTAATAGTCATTTTGACTCTTACTGTAAGTGTCTATTTTGCTCAGCTCAATCGTACCACCAACAATACCGCCTTTAGCATCCAGGCTAGAACCTCCCAAACCAACTCCAATAAACATATTCTTGTGACCTGTGCTTCCAATTGAAAGTCTGCCTTCTGACTTGAAGTCTTTGGTCAACCACCTGAGAAAACAAAAGTTTGAACAAAGATGTAAGACAACTAATAAGCATAAAGTAAAAGGAATTCAAAACAGAAATTAAGGATAGAAAGTTACATACGTGACATTTCCCATGACATTGCCCATGTTCATATGCACATTCAGTTTTGTGAAATTGATAGCAAAGAGTACCAGAGTCTCCCAAGCAGTGCCTGATTTTCCTTCCAAACTCCATCGTTTCGCATCTGAAAAAGAGAAAATTCTCATAAAGAATTCAGACCAGGGTAAAGAAGGTGAAATTACTTAGCTGTAACTGACCAGAAAATCGAGCTGAATATTGATTGTTTGAAGGGTCTAGATTAAGTCTTAATTTCTCTCTGCTTTTGTTGCTGTAAAATTTAAAGGTAGAACATTGCAATAAAAAACACGTTCATTCTCACGTAAATAAGAAACATGAAAAATGCACGATAAAATGACCATTGTAGTTTTAAATAAATTATTCTTAAAACTGACCCTAAATTCATGTTATTGACAGGGAATGATACATCTCCATCGAAGCTACCAGCTGGAGACTCCTCTCCGTCACTGTAAGCAGCACCCATGCTTAAGTCTCCAAGGAAAAGGCGACGAACTATGCTCCGTCGATACCAAGCTTTAGGGAAAGCCAGTATCTCAGTTAGTCGACGCATGTCATATTTGAATGAAGCAGATCCAATGTCAACAATAGCTGTTGGAAAAAATACAACAGTAAGTTTCACTTAGAAAAGCTGGATGCATTTGAGTGAATACCTTCAATACTTACAAGAAAATCGGATGCATGCCTGACTTTGATCTCTGCCACCCTTAGGTGGATCAATTCCAAAGTTTAGTTTCCTACTACGAGATAAATGTACTTTTACAAATTCTACATTGATGCTGAGAGAATCTTTTCGTTCACTGTCAGTTAAAGGGGACCACTGGGCTTCTTTTGATGCTGAAAAATATAATTAAGGCATTAGAGCACTATGTTTACCTACAATTAATAACATTTTTACAAAATTTATTTAAACGAACCAGTTTTTTTGCCTCCGTATGGATGGAATATATACACAGAAAAGTCTGATAAGCAGCCAGTGACACTCAAGCCACCAACAGCAGATGGAGCAGATGGTGCTTTACATGGACCATCACCAAATTCACTGAAACACAAGAATTCAGAGTCAGAGAAAAGAACACAGGTTGAAAAGCTGCAATGCAAACTAACTCACCTCTGGAGTTCTTCCTCAGCTCTTTTGGAAGAAAATACAATGTCTAGGGATGGTAACTGCAACATGCACTCGACGCGAGATACCGGCAGGCAAGAGAATCGGAAAGTTGAGGGCTGCATATGAAAGTATACTATGACATCTACAGGGAAAGAGGCATACACATAATTGCCAGGTCCAGTCCCTGATGCCCAGATTGGTGCTGAATCTGCTGGATTGTCCATGGAGAACATTGCATTCATGGATCCTGAAAATGTTGAGAATCAACCAATTAGAATATCAATAATAAAGAGTAGGCAAGCAATCAAATCAAGTTACAAGTACTTACCAGGATTTGACAAGGACGTTTTAGGGAGAAGAGATGGAATGGGTTCTAGAGTTTGTTCCAAAAACTCCAAAATATGAGGACTGATAATAGTCTCTTCAGGAATACTCTGCAAAGTCATCCAAGCAAACAGGCTTGCCTTTTTGGTGCTTGATCTACGAGGGAGGCCTGCACCAGGTGCTCCTTGAGGCAGGAAATGTAAAGGGTTGTATGTGTGATCTGTTGAGGAGCGAGGCGATAAGTTTTCTTCATTTAATGTTTTGGATTCATAGTGCACCTGTAATTAAAGAATATTTAGTTAAAAATAAGTAACGATCGATTTAAACAATCGAGAAAATGAGAGATGAGAGTTCATTTCATCCACCTTCACATCAAGACCAGGAATGTGAAAAACAGTGAGATCCATCAGTTGAGCTACAGAGCTTGGTGTGCCTGTTGTCAAGTAACGTAGGCGAGATGATGAAGTATTTCCCTTCATTTCCTTTGTGGCTCTTCTGCTCATGTTTGGGCTTGGAGGAGGAAACTCCAACATTCCTCCAGAACAACTACGTTCTTTCTTCATTCTACTAGAGCTGAAAATTTTTTACAATTTTAGGAGAAAAATAGTACCAAGGGCTGTCATCGGAGACAAATACCATTCATTCATTCAAATGCATGACTTACAGCTTCATTTCATCTTCTTTTGCCACACTGCTATCCTTAGTGTGTAGAACACATTTTCCACTATTTATGAGAACTTTTACATCAAGTTCAAAGTCAATGTTAGGTTCTTGTGGTTTCTGCAAAGCTACCATGTATGGACTCATAGGACTTGATGCACCAGCTGGATCTGTTCGCAAGTTTGGTTCCAAGAGGGGAGCACTAAGGGGTAAAGAAAAGGTGTCAATAGAAGAGGAGATACTGGGTATCAATAAGTCTCAATGACTGGGAGAAGTACGCACCATCCGTCTATTGAGTCCTGGCTCTGACTAGGAGTCCCTAATGTATTCGGCTTTCTACGTAGCTCAACAGTCTCCCCATCAACATCCATGTGTGAAGAGCCAGGGGTCCAATCCAAACTCAAATCGGAGCTAGCACTGGGCAAAGATGATTGTCTAAAAGTGAACAAGAGACAGTATTAGAAACTGTAAAATTTTATAATAGAAGAAGGATAAAAATTTCAAATTTAAAAAAATATGAAAAAGTGACAAAACAACTATTTACAGTTTTGTTATTTAAAATCTCAAAATTAATAAAACACAACAAGTCAACAAAAATTTTGACATGTTTAACTTTTACAAACCTGCAGATAGTGTGAGAATCACTAAAAGTTACTTTGGGTGCTGTCATGCCACGCATACGCAAAGATGCTGAACGAGAAGGGCCTGACTGAGGGGAACCCCCCGACACACTGTTCTCTTCAGGGCTATTGGAAGCAAAGACATGCAGTTAGTTTAGAGAGGTACACAAATAGGCTTTGAATTGTGTTTATTTTAAGGTTCACGTAATAAGTGCATCCCTCTTAAACCGTGTGGGCCGACTTGCACGTGATCGCGACGGTATAGGCGGGATAACGGTTTATGAGAGATGCCCTGTATTTTGACAGTTTTCTTTTCCCTAGAATGCTGATATTATTGATAGATTGACCCAAAGCTCTTTCTTGAATGTAACTAAAACTTTTAGAAGGAAAAAATTAAAATTATTGTAAGAGTTTTATTTTGAAATGAAGAGGAAGAGAAAGAAGTTGGCTGAGTTTGGATTTTGTTCACGCAACCAAAACCAGTATCCTCGTAAACTAATATAAATTGATAAAACAGTGAACCACACCATAACATCTGAAGCAGACAGAAATTCAAACACAAGTGCAATTTGAAACCAAAGCAGACACACTCCTTGCTGAAGGTTATGCAACATATGTACAATGGTGTTAGTGCACAACAATCACAGCAACATCAGAGCTGTGTGTGTACCTGCAACGACATAGGCCAGAGCTTTGACCTTCTGAAGATGAGCTCCTACAAACAGAAACGTGCAAGAGCATAGGGTTGATTTTCCCCTTTAACTCTGCTGCATTGCACCTAACTCTGCAATTTGAATATTTGTAGGGCTTACTTTTACTCCGTTGAACAGTGAAACAACATTAATGGGTCGATAATGTGTCAAAAGTTTTCAGATACAATTTACCCAGTCAACAGGAAAGGGTAAAATTTGCTATGTAAAACATTAGAAAATCAAAAACATGGTACTACCTTTCAGCTTCAAGCTGGTGCTCAGGCATAGGCGATGGGACAACAAATGACCGAGATCGAAAAGTTGATGCCTTCGACCCCAAGCCAAATTTTCCCTTGATTGATGATGCCTTAACACTTTGTCGTCTAAGTTTTTGAATCATATCCCTAAAAGAAACATTATGGTCAAAGAGAGAATAAATTTGACAAAAAGACCAGGGTTATTTTCCAGTTTTTCAAGTACCTCCTGAAGTCTTTGAAAACCATAGCCTCCAGTTCTTGGAGCCTCTTCATTTCCTGTTCAATAGTTCCATGGGATGCACCAAGAGAGCGAAGATCAGAAATAATCTTTGCTTGCTCATTCATTTCCTTTTCTATCAATTTAGAGCGTTCTTTGGCATCTAGAGTAGGATCAAATACAAATGCAGGAAGATTGTCCATCATGTTTTTAGATTTTCTGAGGCCAATGTTTTCCTGGAATAAGACAGAGTAATGAAAGCAAGCTATCACAATATAAGATATTGGCAGTGGGTGGATAACTTACAACGCGACTTGAAATTTCTGAGGCATGCTGCCCGTCTGTGAGATCGGTTTCATCTGAGTCAGATTCCACAGTTGCTGTGTCGTCATCCTGTTCAGTGCTTGTCAACATGGTCAATGTATGTCCAAGTGCAGACAACTGTTTACCCACATTGACATCAACATGTATATCAACACCCTCCATCTGCCATCCCACATTAAGAATCCACTTGGCATTTTCTAAAGCAGAAAAGAGAAAGCAAAATATAATATTGATAACTCATCTCAACTCTTTGCAGCCAAAAGACATTTCGGTGGCATGCTCTTACCGCCTCCTTGTTTCTGCGCAATTGTACGGCTGCACACTTCATATGTGCCATCAGACACAACACACAAATTCATAAGGTTTGTATCATTCATGTCAGGCTTCCAATCATCCCATGATATCTCAAAATCGTCGGTGAAGCGCAGGCACAGCCCAACAAATCTTCCCTTGCTGACTAATGAGCCACTACTGCATGCGGATATGCTTGTGTTTTCTAGGGTGACCACAACAGCTCCTCCAGTTTCTGAGTCAGCATACATCTTTCGTCGGTTTAAACCCCAAGATGCCTGTAACAATAATGTCATTAAATATCTCATTGTATCCTGGTTTATTAAGCTTATTCAGAATTTTCATAAATTTGAATTGCATTCTTACCATTGGCAATGGGTTTAAGGGGACACAAATTCCCATGTCTTCAACTGTGAGTTGAAGGAATAGGGTACCCAAATGTGGGGATGTCATCTGATTGGTCAGCTGATTCAAGGCCATCTTATCGAACACCTGTTGTGTTGCAGTAAGCACTTCCTTAGTGAGGTTGGATCGTTGCTCATTCCAGTACTCATAAGCATTTTTGTAGTTTAGCCACACAAGGATAGCTTTGTCAACTGCCATTGGTTGTATGTAAATCAAAGGTCTCTTCAAAGTGATAAGAACAACTTCCTTATCTCCACCTTCTCCTTGGGCGGAGATGGTCTCATCTTGGAAAGCATTTCTCAACCCTGAACAAAGACAAATAGCAAATAAAATCCACTAATTTTATCTCCATTCCTAATCTAATAAAAACATGGAAAAAGCAATTAATGGAGTTGACACGTCTCTTGATGTGAACTCACCAATTGTTGTCTTGAAAAAAGCATATTGTTGGAATTCAATGTCAGCTTCATCAAACACAGTATTCCTCAGTAACTGGCCAAGGCTGAGATTAATGTCAACTGTCGCTTTTCCAAACATTTTGCCAGCAGTTTGGCCTCCAGATACATTCTGAACACGATTGGACAGCTGGAATTCAACCATTCCCGTCTCCAAACGCACAGCAGAGCTAGTGGGGGTTGTAGCTGTTAGCTGAATTCGCTGGAAAGGATCATACAGAAACATTTTGTATTAGAATTTATCTCAGCTTTCTTTCTGCAAATTGTCAAGTCATATTGCATCATTTGCTTACCTTGATGCGAATTGCAAGAGAAAATAAGATGCGGTCAATAGCAGAGGTTGAGGTTTCTTCGCCTTCAAGCCAAATTGGAACAGGTTTTTCACCTCCATACACCTTCTGAACAACTTCATTCACCTCCTTCATAAAAACTTTCTGAACAAAAACTAGGGTGTTCAGGAGATCTGTAGTCAAAGTATTCTCAAACTCTCCTATGTCAGCCACAGCATTAAGATAGGATCCTTGACGGAGAACAACTCCATCTGTTCAGGGGAAAAAACGAAAAATATAAAAACTTGAAGACAGTGCACTGTACATTTTGCACTACTAATTAAGTCAGTCACCTGCAAAATTAGATTCATTAGGATTCTTGCTATCAGATATGTACTCTGCAGCTACATGTACATGTGGCAGAGGAATGTTTGCTTCTGGAGGGAGATTTGCCTCAGCAACCTGAAAAAAATTACAAGCAATTATATTTGTGAAAATTTCAAGATGAGAAACGAATTACTCATTCAAACAAACCTGTAGCTTTGTGGTGAAAGAGAGTGAATGCTGAGCCAAATCTACAGTAAATTTCGCTTTGCTTCCTGTTACACCTGCACTCATAACTTGATCCATTTTGTACTGAGCTTGTAAAGATGGTAGAAGAGCAGCTGTGATACTTAGGCTCTGCAACAACATACACCATGCCACATGAATACATTAATAAAATAAGATCAGAAACAGAAAAAATATTTAAGTGCTGCTGTGTCGCTTAGACTCTGCAACATGAAAACAAAACAATGAAACTAAAAAGCACACATATCCCATTTAGCAAACATGAAAACCAAACAGCATATTCAGTGCAATGTCAATCATAATGAGACAAAAAGAAATATTTAATCATAATACTTAAAGAACACATAAATGCACAAGGTCAAAATGTAAAATATTGTTAGACTCAAGCCCTATAAAGGGAAAGGTCGGCAACCAGAAAGAAATCACTTACAAAATTTGACCAACAAATAGATAAGATAAAACTTCACACAACCACATAGCACCATTTAAAGCATAAAAATAAGCAAAAATGGTGAGAATCTTGCAGCTTCAGTCTTGAGAAGAGATCCATCTTCAACTCCTGCGAAATCACAACCTTCAAGACTTCTCAGAATCTTTAAAACAGTCTTTACAAATAAAAACAGAAAAATTTACAAACATATGAACAATATGTGTGTTTAAACATTGCAAGCCTGGCAGCTGTGCTCTGAACAACGAGTACAACAATAACAAAATTGAAACTTGAAGCTTTATTTAAAATGTAAACCATCCAGATAGTCGAATCACCTTGCCGCCTGTTTGAAGCTGCTCATGGGCTTGAGGATGCAGCACAGTAAGCACTGGCAGAAGCTCAGCAGTCAACGTCAGCTTCTATTTTGCAAGAAATGAAATTGACCAACTGAGGTGAAAGAGAGACAGACCTAAACCATTGCTCAGCATTTTTTTTTTTAAATTACCTAATACAGTGAAAAACACGGAAACAAATTGCACAGAATCTTGACAGTTAAAATTTCAAAGAATTCAGGAATATAACAAGAGAAGCCCATGGAACCAGGGAAATGTAGATCAAAGGATGTTTATGAAGCATGAACGTTTGTTTACACAATCGATAATAAGTATGGATCTTCAATCTACTCAAGCTAACTACATGAAAAAAAAAAAAAACAACAGGAGAGCGAAGAAGTTTTAACTAACCTGAAGAACGACAGAGAACTGCATTACAAGAGGCTGCAGAAGGTTAGATTCTGATTGAACCTTTGCAGATGGAGGAGGAACTCCAGTGGGGGCTGTCTGAGGGTGTGGTGACTGTTGAGGGGCTTGAACCTCACCCTCTTCAGGCACAGCGCCCCGGCTGACTCGGCTCGTAGTGCGAGAAACACGCAATTCCTAAAATAGTAAGTATAGTTATTGTTGGTATTGTAACATTAAATTTTTAAATTAAATTTTGTTGGGGACCCACCTGCAAGGTAGAGGACAGTTGTTTACTGCCTCTGGTCATCATACCATGCAGAGCCACAGGGTGCTGTGGAATGTCAATATTAACTGCTCCAACAGTCAAAAGGCCAGAGTTCTTGTCTTTGGAACGCTTTGTCATGCTTGAGTACAGCATTTGCGACTTCCCAACAGTCACCTTGACAACAGTTCTGTTTTTGTTTTGTTTTTTAATTATTAAAAACATAAAATATTAACTTTTTTACATAAAGACTGCAGTTCACAGGCAAAATAAAAACAGAATTTACTCACTGCTGATTGGGCGCTACTCCCTCAAGCAAAACAATCATTGTGCGACCAACTTGTCCACTGAGGGAACATTCAAGACTGGCAGGTCGTGTTTTCTTGCGGCAACTAAAGCTTGAATGGAGGCTAGTGATTTCAGCCTCCAGTTTAAGTCCACTTAAGGTAGCAAGAAGTCTTGTACGGTGGATTCGAGCAACACCAAACACAACCAGGCGAGTTCGTTCCCCAGTGAGCACACCTAATAAAAATAGAGTAATTATTTTCACTTCTGTAACAATTGCAGAAAACAACATAATGTAAAGAAGGCAAGACTTACTCAGCTCTCTTGGCTTGTCTTGAATCACAGGAGTAGAAGCTGTGAGGTTGTCACCTACAGTGCTTCCTTTTTCTACATCATCCACACCCTCAAATTTATCATATTTGCGATCAGCATTTGCAACAACTGAGAGCCTGGAAAAGTCAGTATTCATCAGCTTCTGTTTTACAATGGTTGGACTTTTAAAATACTTTGGCAAAGGGATATAATTTTATTTTCTACCATGCCCCTTACCTATGGGGAATCGTTTTGGTTTCAGGCATTGTTGCATATAAATCCAAAAGATAATACACTGTTTTCCAACAGCGAGGTGTTATATTGTTGGGATCGATGAGCTTTGCAGCTACAATGCTTTCCAAGGCAGATCCTGATGGGCTGAGGCATTCTACTCCTTCAGTCAAGTTCATATATCCTTCACAGAACATAATAAAATGTATATCAGTACGTCTTAAAGAGAAGCCTTTAAATTCACTATTGAATAAATTACTTTGTACTGTCACACCTTTCACACTTTTGCTAGTTGAACGAAGTTTCTGAGCTAAACTTTGATGTCTCAATGTAGAACGAACACTTGCAGATTGCATGCTAGCAGAACGTAGAGATGATGATCGAATGCTACCTGATGGTGAAGTGACTTTTACTTGACTGTGGGAGCGAGGGAAAGCATTGCTGGGACCACTTGAGTTGTATGAAGGTACAGTCACTTTCGGATCTGCCGCAACTGAAAGAACGTTTATTTTAACAACATGGTAAATAATACAAATACCATTCAATAATTAAATATATTGACCAGTAGGGCAAAAGAAAGACAATGGGGGCGGAAAAGTGACTTACAATGAGGGTGATTAACGGCACCAATACCTGAAAGATTTGAAGCAAGTGGAGCACCAGTGGACAAAGGTTGTGAGTCACGTTTGGTGACTTCAGGCTGCTGCTCCCTTAGTTCCATTTGAGTTTCTTTCACATTTTGATACATGTTGCTGATTTGATGCAAAAGCCGCAACAAGGGCATATTGACCTGTATTGAGCCGAAAATTGGTAAGTGTACTATGTTTAAAAATCAAAGTCTTCAAAGGCCAGAAAATTAATGATAGAATACAAACCTGTTGTGAAATGTAGCGAATATTCAAATTTACGTTTACAGTTGTGCTTGTGTGCTTCTTCAGTTGACCCCGACTTATGTATAAAACATTCTGCCGTTGCACCAAATCGTCAACAGTCATGTCTGCCACCTTTCTCAAATCCAGCTCTACAGCGACTTTTTCACACAAAAAGGCTGGTGTGTCAGTAGGGATGTCTAAAAATATCTTGGAGCCTTGACTTTTAGTTTTGCCTATGGCTGTCTTGTTGCGTTTTTTCTCAGCAGGCTTCCCTGCCTCACTGACAACAATGTCAATGCGCATAGTATCCATGCTTCCAACTAAAGTCAGATTTGATCCCCAAGATTCAAAGGCTGAGGTCTCATTGTTTGCACCTACAATAGATTATGGAGTTAGTGTGGCAGTTTACTTTAAACAGACAAGACGTATTAAAATTGCTAGAAGATAAAAAATAATTATGAAACAAACCAGCATTGTTAACCATCTGTTGAGGCACCACACCCAAACTTGAAAGGAGGGGTTCAAAAATGAGATGGGCATCCAACAGTCTAAGTGAATCATGGATGGGATATAAGCTGTAACCTGCAGCAGCAGAGGCTGCCGCATCACACGGTTGCTCTATTGTCTCTTCAGTAGTCATTGTGTTTATCTTTGATTCCTGCAAATTTCAATGAGTATTATTGCTCAAAGCATCTTAACAATAACGACCAATACGCTTTACTTTAATCTTGAACCTAACTTACCCAATCTGAAGCATGCTGGGCATGTTCACCACCTTTCATAAAGCCTTGTTGCTTGGTCATCCAACTGTAGAGATCTTCATTGGGTTCATAATTAGTAGGTGGAGCAGGTGGAGAAAGGTTAGCATTGTGATAATCTTGGCTTCCCAACGAGTGATTACTGCCATGACCGCCAGAGTAAATGCTTGGATTTGAGCCAAGGTTATGAGCTACTGGTGATCGTTGTTGATCCTCCTTCAGAGCACCATAGCCCAACCCTTTATCTGCATCACTTTTACGGTGAACAGTGCTGGTGAGCAAAGGAAACACGATGCTGGCTCTACAAGAAAGTGGAGCTTGAGAAGGAGCTAAGCCCTTCTTTTTTGCTTTCTTCTTTCTACCATCATGTGGAGATGATTGGGTGGTTGCTCCTTCTCCATCCTCTGCATGAGGTGTCAATGTAGGAGATGTTAAAGTATTAGAAGCATGAATATGTGGAGTTGTATCAATTAGCATTGCACACTCGTCTGTAACAGACAATTCTCCATCTGTCAGGATATTCTCCTCATCTTGAGGGTCGGGGACTGCAAAGGTGACATTCAATGGCTTGATGTGCTTGCTCTTAAAGTTGTGCTCAAGTAACAATGGAGTGTAAAGCACATTCTTCCATTGCCTACTAAGTACAATGACACCTTGACGCAAAGTAGACAAATGAGGCAAATCACTTTCTCGTAAATTGGCTTCAATACTGCTTAAGTCAGTTTGTAGAACATATTTTAAAAGCACATTACACAGCTGACAAGAAGGATCTTCAACAAGAGTCTTTGCCATTGGTGTGAGACGCCCATAACGACTCTTCACTGGCATGTGTATGCTCTGCACATCGAGAGCCTCAGCCATAAGACTGGATACAATAGCAGTGGATCTTCTATACTTGGAGCGGAACATGTGAACAATTCTTATAGCCAAGCGGTTGCTTGGGTTCATCCACGCATTGATAGCAGGAGATGCAGTACTCAGTAAATTCCAATCCAATCGAGTAAAGTCAATTTTTCTAGTAATAGGTGTCCTTGGAGGGGCAGCAAAATTAAACCACACTTTGTGCAGATCTATAACACAAGACGATGTGTTTGCATGGTTACAACTTTTGACGGGAGCAAGCTGAGCATTGCCAACACTGCTTGTGGCTGTGCTCGCGGCTGCATCAACATCTGCAAAAGGCCCTTGTGGACCAGAGGCTGCACTTCCAGTACTCCCTTCAGGGACAGATGACAAGGTATGTTTCCCAGAAGGCTTTACACCCTTGCCAGAAGTTGAGTCATCAGCGTGACTGAAACGAGATGGGTTCGTGCTCTCTCCAGTAACATCCAGATCATCACGAGACCTTACGGAATCTGTGTAAGCTATGTCGACTTCACTGTCTTCCAGCTCACCTTCCCTTCTATCTAACTGGGAGCGTTTGACAACTTTAACAGAAACTCCTTCCAGACCACATTCAAACATAATGAACCCTAAGCGTTCTTCTGCTGCAGGTCCGGATGTCATGTCTTTGTCCTGTTGGGGCGGCTCCATATGAAGACCTCGACTTGGTGAAGAAACACGAGCACAGGTGAATAGAACACGTGAGCAATGTTCAGGGATGGCAGTGATGACAGCATCTTTTAAAATAGAGCTTTCATTACGGAAACGTCTTAGTTGAGCATGAACTTTTCCCACATTTAGAGCAACAATCGTTTCCTCTAATTGCTTGTCAGAGGTTTCAATGTACACTGGTTCAGCACCAATTTTGTTTCGAGCCACACCTCTACCCTGCATTTGTAGACCCTCCAAGAAAGGACGAAGGCCCTTGTAGCCACTTGTTGATTTCTTGTTGGCAGGAAGGACCACTGGTCTGTTCAATGTCTGAACAACTTCTCGAGTCTGTTTTGAAAAGCAAAGCAAGTATTTGAATACAAATTCATACATTTAAATCAAATTATGAACTTTTTAAAAATATTTATTTTTTAAAACTTACTTGTTTTCCTACATGAAACCTTACAGTAACTGTGTCAAGGCAAACAGCAAAAAGCGAAACGCATGTCAAGTCTCGAATATTGTCTAAAGCCGCAAATGAAATAATTTCTTCCACTAATGATGCCTGAAGTAGTGTTACATTGACCTAAACAAGGAAATCAAATGAATCAGCCCAACAACAGCTTTCAAAACAGGGCAAATTAATTTTATAATTTGAGAAACCATACCTTAGGGAAATGGATTGTTCCTTGCGTTTGAGTGTAAATACATTCCTCATAGCTGTTTGTGGGAGGAGGGGCGTTTATTTCTCGCTGAGCGGTGCTATGTTTGCTACTTGCTTGCAGCTGAGAGAGGTAAGAGAGGGACTGATCATGTTTTAGAATATTGGCAGCACAAACAGAACTGATGCACTCATTGTGCAGATGGTTGAGGACTGTTACAGGATGCAAAGTTGCAAAGGTTGGAGTTAAAGCATCTATAAATCTGGAAACAAATCAATACTTAGAGCATCCTGGGAAATACAGATTATAGCATCTTAATGGTTCAGGTGGTTAAAATTAATTACATACCTCTGCAAACTTTCCAATACCAATGGACTCAACATGATATCAACATCACCTTTGAATTTGATAATAACAGTTGTGCGAGTGCCCATTTCTGTGTGAAGAGCTAGGAGCTCTTCCTCACAATCTGAAACAAATTAAGGTGAAATAATCATATAAGCCATAGTCTCTGGCACACTTAAAAAAGAGATGACATACCTGTGTTGCTTTCCCCACTGGATTTTGTGCTTGGCATGTTTGGGCTTTCACCCCATGTATAAGGGTGGGTAGGAGTTTTGCTTGATGGAGGTGGAGGTGTCCCATGACTGTCCTGATTTCGACTTACCATTTTCAAAGAAGTAAATCCTTCAGTCAAAAATTCAAAATGTGGGACATATCTGCCACCTGTAGAAAGTCGCAAAATAATTGAGGACTACCAATCACCAAGAATAAAATTAAGAGTAACAAAAATAATGCTGATCTACAAATCTACTTACCAATGTAAATAAGGCGCCCTTCATGAGTGCGTTGAAGCATAGGAGCAGTCAGAGCATCACATCCACACGGTAAAGAGTTGTGAGCCCAGTTAGCACAGCTCACCTTAGGCAAAGATAATAAACATCAAAGAATTGTAATAAAAATACTAATATGCTGCACATGACAGGTTGCCATTTCAAACCTGAGAAAGATGGTTGACATAGCTGGACATAAGTAGAGGAGAATCCACAATTGGTTTGTTGACTTGCATATGCAGATTGACCAGTGCTAAATCATCTTGTGATGACACAGCTGAAAGGAAAGAAGTGCTGGAAACAGATGGGGAGTCTGAGGACTCTAGGTGATGGTTGTCTGGGTTCTGAAAAATTGACATTAGGGACAAGTTTAAAATGCGTACATACAAAATATATAAGAGCATAAATTAGTAAGACCTGTAATTTTACCTGGCCGTCATGATCAGAGTCTTTTAAATGTCCATTTATTAATCGAGGGCTTGGAGATGAACGCCTGTCTTCTTCTCGAACAACCACACCCTGACAAAAATTATTTCTGTTATTCATAGCCAGGTTTAAACAGAAGTCATATGCTTGAAAAAAATTGAAAAGTTATCATCAGATCAAATAAAAATTTTAAACATCCAAAAGAAACTTACCAAGTCCAAAGAATTGCGAGTGTCTGTGGTCTCAGGAGCAACAGGATCAGCAGTAAGAATCATGCTTTGTTGACTACCATAGGCTCGCCTGCACAAAATTAATGTGAGAAAGAGAATAGGATTGGAATTTACATGTAAATTGACCGAGAAACAAGCACAAACCTTTGCATTCCATTTGCTTCTTGCTTATGAAGAGTAGACCCTGAATGTTGCAAAGAGGAGTTCCTACTGCATGCCACACTCCCACTTGTACCTCCAGCCAAACTACTAAGGTCTTCATCTGCTGAGAAAAACAGCTCAGATGGATTTTCGCTGCCCATTGAGAGGGTGCGCTGAACCTCTTGGAGAGCATCCTCTATAGAGTGGTTTGAATCAGATGGAAGAGGCCCCAATGGAGACTGGGCAGCTTGTACCTGAAAAATAAACAAAAGAATAGATACAACTAGGTTCTTAGAGAATAATCATGAAAAATATACACATATAAGCAAACCAAATTAAAAAAAAAAAAATATATGTGTACCTGATTGAAAACTAAGTTTCGGGTGGAGTTGAAGTAATCTACTGCTAGCTTGGAATCAGACACACTGCACTTAGGAGCAAGGTCAGCTTCAGGCACACTTAAAATTGATTTACTCCTTTCTGTGTGAAGTTTTGAATCAGAGTCCAACTTCTGGGGAAGAAGGTTAGACGTAGCACCATCAACAAGGCGAGCATAAGGAACATCACGGAGCAGCTGAGGAGTTTGACCCCTGATAGAAAGGTGCAAAACAAAAAAACCCGTAAGAACAAGAATAATGTTATTGTAATGGTCATTTTGTAATTTTTTGAAAAAAAAAAAAAGTAATCATAGAGGGGGAAATACCGATTGTTGGCCAATGAGGTGTATGAGAAACGACGATTGATTGACCTCTTGTCGCCAATAGGACTTGGAGATATGGGGGAAGCAGTACTGGCCATTGTTGGACTTTCAGCTGAAACCACCTAGTGTTAGACAAAGCATAATATCTGGATTAGCACAATTCTTGAAGGTAATAATTTAGTAACAACGTAACAACATCCCAATTAACACCTTTGTGGTGACTCCACTTGGAGGGTTGACTCGAGAAGAACATAATGGGTCGTATAAAGTGACATCTTGAGAGCCATAGGGTGGGGTATGAAACACAAGAGAGCCTTCATGTAGAATGCTCTGACCATATCCAAAGTCTTTACCTCCTTCAAGTATTCTGGAAAAGAAAAACCATAATAGAGGTGTTAACACAAGGAAGTTTTATTTAAGAAAGGACTTAATACAATTTGGAAATGATTAGTAAGGTACCTGAAGGACGCTGTATTCACACCCTCAGCCGCGTCCTGGCGAGTGGGCTTAAAGAAACGGGGCCCATTGCGGTTGCTTCCAAAGAAAGCACAACCACCAATGCAACCACATTTAGCAGGAGTTTTAACACTTGGGCCATTGTCAGGTCCCCACAAGAACCAAAGACGCTTGATACGATCATCATGGATTTTTAAGTACCTGAGAGAAACGTGAAACATTATTTAACTGAACAAAATTGAGACAAGGAAGAGACGGCACAGAAAGATAAGGTTACTCACTTGTGTTGAACAAGATGTAAACTATGTTGTGGAGAAGGCAGAGAGATGGCCGCTTCAACCACAAGGGGGCCAAAGGCAACAGATCCAACCTCAAGCCAAAGCTCTGAGCTCCCTTCAGGGCCCGATCCCTTCCCATTTGTGCCTTGCTGGCTAGCCTGTTGGCTTCGTCCACTACCACTACCTGTTGTGTTAGTGCTGCTACCTGTTGCTCCACCAATGTGACTACCTGTGGCCACAAACTGGTGAAGCTCCACAGAAGGTAGAAGGGCTGTCACTCCAGACTTAATTCGATTTCCATGAAGGTTGCAGGTTGAAACACGTATTGGACATGCCTATGAAAAACATTTTCCAACAGCATTAGCACAAATACAGGACAAGTTAATACTGTGTACTAATTTCTATCCCATGGGTAATTTCTTCATAAAACTTGAATACTTACCCAAATCTCCATGGCTGTATTTTGCTCCAATAGGTATATATCAATCTCATCTATAGCAACTCTAGTCATACGGTATTTTACTTGGTCACTGGAGGGGCACGAAAAGCGTGTTTCATTATCTGACTCTGGGCACAGTAACGGAGGCAAGCCGTGCATACAGGGCTTAGGAGTGTGCGGCGGTCTCATGTTATTCTCAGAATCACATATCAGCATCACAAATGTTTCTAATCCAGTTATGAGGTGATGCAACTAAAGGTAGCAGAAAAATCACATTTTAGTAAGATAGAAAATTCCGTACCACATGTTAAACAAAACCCAAAAGCTCACCTGAGGACCAGTCAACTTGCCACTTAATTTGCCTAGTTGAACTTCCACCAACCATGCATATTCAAGAGTATCTTCGTCAAGAGAACGGCCTTCATCACTGAACATAGCATGATGGCGTACCTTTGGGAAAAAAAGGAAGTAATTGCTTAGGTATTGATCAAGTTTCAAAATAGTTATTGACCCATGCAAGAACTCACTTGGAGAGATGACAACATGAGGTGCCCTTGATTAAGGTGACCTTCTCTACCAGGGCGCAAAGCATGGTCAGAACTAATAAGGAAAGCAGGAGAGACCAAGACTTGCAAAATCGTTTCCCTGTATGACTTCAACATTTCAAACCCAAAGCGTTCCACCAGAATGATCGGGCAGGGAGGATCTTTTTCGCCGCAATTCTGTACAAGGAAGTGCAAGGCTTTTTATTGCACCTGAGGGTTTTAATCACAAATTATGTTGCAATACAAACCTGGGAATAATTGGTTACCCACCTTGACAAGATGAGCCTGAATATCATGCATAGTCACAGAAACAGTGACTTGCAGAGGCCTGTATTCCCTACAATCAGCATGTTTCCTTATCTGAATTTGTGGCTGTGGTGTTGTAGATGTGCTTGTTGATGATGCAGCATTGCCACTAACCGATGGAGCATTTACTGTAACCCCTGGTGCTGGTGAACTTGGTGCTGGACTTTGACTTTGTGTCATATCAGTGAATGCTTGGTCGTCTCCAAATATATTTTCCTGTAAACAAAGAAATGAAGATCAAAATTTTCTATTGTTAAAAGAAACAATGAGTAACACAAATATAACATACCTTCAAGTGCATGAAATTGCGCAGCAGTGAACCATAGAGCAACATCACTGAGGGCCCAATCTCCAGCTCCACCAAAACTGTATCAGCAGGCATTGTTGTTGGGTCTAACTTTTGATTGCCATCCTGAAACTCAACAAGAACAACACTATTTGACCACGAAGAAAACCATCCAACAATACGAAGATAGGTAAAAGAAATTGTCTATACCTGCTGCCACTGCATTTTAGATGTTTTACGGCCATGAGGTATTCTCATTGGAGACAGTAGTATTTCCTCTTTTTCAGGAGTAGTTATGTTGGCCTGTGGAGGTGGCCCTAATGGAGGTGCTGGATGGTAAGTGTAATGAATACTCAAGGCCACAATCGGAACAGACCAGCAGTCCACCCAGCCGGTACTGAAAATTTTTATAAAAATGAAAACAAGAATTTAGTTAACAAAGAGTTTAATTTGATTGCTAATTTAATGAAATAAGCACTATGGTACATCTAAACCACTCACCTTCGCTGACAAACATTTCTCCACCTCCTAACATGTTCACACTTCTGTCTGAGATTACCATCTCTGCCCAGAATTTTGGCATTGGAATCCAAAGCCAAGAGAATGTTCCTACTACTGTTTACTTCAGGCAAGTAGAGAGTTAAATCAACACTTTCTCCCTGAAAACATATTCATATCAATTTGGCGCACACAGTCAAAGAAATAAAGTAGAAATATTCTGACACTTCAAGAAGAAATGGCAAACCTGTATCCAAAACCGCAAGGGAACTGTCGGTGGTAGGAAGTCCACAAATGGGAGATCAAAAGATAGATCAAAGAGGTCTCCACAGAAGGCAATATGTGCTATAGTTAAAGAAAATATATTATCAGTGAACTTAAGTTAATTTTGTACATTTAAAGACATGTTGATTTATCCTTGAAAATCTTACAGTTTTCTTGGTTCTGTGATGAGCAGTCTATCCAGTTGTATTCATTACAAAGAGTAATAAGTTCAAATTCCATGAGGCGGAGAGACAACTTCCAGGTGTAAGGAATGAAATGCAGTAAGTCAGGCCGAGCTTTGCTGGCCCAGTCATTAACCAAGTCTAAAAAGAGTCACAAATTGAATATTGAGTTATTTTGAGAAAATGTGAGACATAAATGAAATAGATTAAGATGTTCAGATACCTTGGAAGAAATGTTTATGGGCAAAAATAAGATTAACAGTAGCTTTACATCCAGTAAGATTAAGGATCCATTCTTGATGGTCATTCCACCGTAGAGGGTAGTGACACTTCACACCAAATTCTAAAGTTTCACTTTCAACCAAGCTGCGGTATTGCAAGCTGGTAGATGCTTCAAGATGCAATAGCTGTCCATTTACTTTTGTTGTATAACCATCTGGCTGTACTATCCATGGTATGGTTATTTCTAGATATGACCCGGGGCCAATGTTAATATGAATTGCATTTGTTTCCTAAAAAGAACAGTGGTTTACAAAAATTATAAAAATGACAAGGAAACATAGTTTAAAGTAGGTTTGTTATTTTATCTCACCTTATTTTTGGAAAAGAGAATATCAATGGTGGCTTCATTAAGAGTACTTAGGCGAATATCAAAGGATTGGACTTGACGTTTTTCTCCCGGTTCTAGAGGTTTTGTAACTTTCATAGATTGACAGTCATTGGGAAAGAAAAACTTAAAAAGATTCTCTCTTTGTCTATCAGCCCATGGTCCATAGCTGAAGTCTGTTCCTTTTCCACACTGTAGAATTTTAATTACAAGAAAAACATAAAACAAGTTTGTTTATTCTTGGGTAATAAATAGAATAGTGGATTACCTTTATGTCCATTCCCCATATTGGTGGCGCTGACTCAACTATATCACCATTAGCTAGTCGCAACATTTCTGGATGTTCTGGCACTACTCCTGGCTCATCCATATAATAGTACATCTCAATGTTATTTGATGAAAGTACAACAAATCCTTCACCCATGTAACGAGGGGGATCATCTACCATTCCAGTGTACTTTGGGCTTGGGGCAAGAATCACCTGCACAAAGAAATGTAAAAAAATAATAATATAAACTACCTCAAAATCAAGTTGGGTAACTATATTAAGGAATGTTTAAAGACGAAATCACCTTGAAGTTTTCAGCTTTACATTTGGTGAAGTGCATAAAATGGTCCAATCTTGATGCTGCAGGTTTTGTTGAGTATACAAAATGGGCTTCTTCCACATTCACTGATAATGTGGTTGGGACAAGTCTGTTTCCAAACACAACTCTACCTGATGACACATCAACCTTGATGACAGGTATTAAATCACGCCAACTCTTCCCAAGCATAGCACCAGGCTGAGGTCTTTGTTGCTGAGCAGTGGTGGCAGCAGTATCTTCATCATCTGGTCACACAAATGTTCAGTTAAGAAGCAAGGGAAGAAAAATACCTAAATCTATAAATGAGAAAAAGTTTATATGTACCTTTAAAGGGGCTTTCTCCTGGAAATAGCAATGATTCCAGGCCAAACACTCTCTCTAATCTGGCATACATGTGTGATCTGTTGTAAACATGTAGCTCAAAACCATTCAGCATGACAGAAAGTCTGGTATCAGAGTGAGAAAGATCTAAAATGGAAAGAAAAGATTTATTAATATCTGAGAATAAAGGAAACTAATACCTTACTTTACTAGAGTATCAAGTTAACATGCTAAAAATGGCATACCTTCAGAAACATCTTTGGGGACATATGAACGCCACCATCTAAAGATGAGATATCCGTCTTGAACTCTCAATGTGTAGTCATAGGTAATATAAGACACATCTCTGAACATTATCTTCCCCGAGAGGACATTCCATGTAAAGGAACCTGTAAGCGGAATGACGAATTTGAACCCAAAGACAGGCTTAAGGCTTTAAGTTATTGACAAAACGATTTACTCACCAACTTTAAAATGACCCTCTTGAATGAAAAACCGGTTTAATAAATAAGTAAGCAAATGACCAATAACTCTAGAACTATAATAAGTAATATATATGACCCAAGCCATGGCAGAGACAAGAGAGCACAGAAGCCAGGCAAAATTACTGTCCATTTTAAGATCATTTAAATTGACATGACTGCTGTAGTTCCATGGAGCAGCCATGGCAGCCTGGGCCGAGGAAAGCCTGTAGTCAGAGGCCCCCATCTCGTCCCCTACTAGGGCAGACATAGTCAGAAGGTTTTCCATTTCAACCTGAAAAAGATAAAGGACCGATCGTATTTAGAGCATTCATTCAGCTAACTACTGCAACATCATTGGGCAAAGGGTGTCTCAGCTGGCCCACTGATTATGTTACACTGGATGCAATGTCAGTAAAAAGACATAGTGTTGGGGAGATAAGGTGTCGGCCGAGCGGCACGATAATCAAAATAGGGTGCGGTATCGAGACAGAAGCAGGGGATCCCCCGTTCTTGGAACAAACACGAGCAGACACTGACACAATGTGGGGTTATGTCCGCGAAAAAACTATCTTAATTGACACTAGCGAACTGTACCTGGTGTTTTGGAGTAGGATAAAATTAGGACCATGCCTTCTTTTCTACAGAAAACCACTTTTCTTGAGTAAACACATGGTCATCTACGAAGAGATGACAAGTTTCAGGTCAGTTCAAAGATCAACAAATCATTTTGCTTTGCCACTGTTATTATTCGCAGGTGTGTCCGTCCTCCGAGGAATGTGCATGCTAGACAGCTAGTAGGCTATCATAAAAACTGAAGAAAAGACAAGGAAAATCGCTTGACGAGCACTAAAATGGGACGCGATTGAAATTTCAGTAAAAAGAATACGATTGTCTACATTGGAAACTGACAGCTGTCACGCAGATTAGTATTTTTTTGTGGTGTTGGCATGACTGTTTCGGCTAGCAGACAAACCCGAATACGAATACGTAGTTTTTGTGTACACAGAAAAAAACATGAGGAAGGCGACACGGCAAGCCCACCGGGTTGCGCCGTGCCCATGAAACAGTGTCATTGTTGACACTGGCTTAGCGCATTTATTTGACAAAATTCGTCCGGATGTAATTAGAATTAAAACGTTGCCTCCTTTCAAATAGAAAACTGCTTTCAATGCACATGCAAAGAGTCATCGTCGAAGGGATGACAAGTTTCAGGTTTAAGGGCAGTCCGTGTCGAATGTGTTGCCTATCTTCCAGGCCTCCAAACACTTCGTCGAGTCAGTCGGCTGCATGTTTGGAACTGTGAATGACGCATTTTTATGCAACTCTCTCTCGCTGAAATTGGATGATGGGCTTCTGAGCTTCTTGTGTGAGCCAAGATAGGTAATCCAATTCAATTCAAACCGTTTGTTGACGGCTTGGCTTTTCCAATCCGCTCGGCTCTTCATTCAACGATCTGATATCTCGAGGTTTATGTCAAGTTTTGTTTCGTTTGTTGTATCCGGGCTGTGCTGTCGTTTATTTTTCGATGCTCGGCATTGTTTCATAAAGAACGCTCGACCGGTATATGGAGTCTTGGGGAAAAAGTTTCCGCGTGGGCAAAAAGAAGTAGAGTTCAAGTCCAAACTTGTTTCGTCGGTCAAGGCTACGAAGTGCGATGCTGATAGCGAGCCAGCGGGTTCGGCCCACGTATTCAGTGGTCTCCAAGACTTGCTGCTTGACCGTCCTTTGCTGCCATGCCTTACGTGTTGGTCACCACCCAAATTCGGCTTGTGAGTCTTCGCCCAGGCCGACCTCAAAGATTTGACATAGGTTATGTTTCTGCATAACCGGCGTTGGTACTTCGTTGCTTTCCTTAAAAGTTACTGCTTGTCACATCGGGTATTTTCCTCATAATTAGCTCTGCGTTGCTTCGTACAGTACTCTCCAGCCAGCAGGCTTCCTATCGCGTCAATTCCCTCCTTTTACAATAAGTTGTATGTGGTCTTCCTCGGCTCCTTTGTGAAATCTTGATCCTCCAGAAACTTCTTTTCAGTCTGTTGGCATTAGAGTTAGATGTGAATTGTCCTAGCATTTTGATGTTGTAACATTTTGCTGCTTGTTTTGTCCTCAGGAAAATGGACCCACTTTTGTTGGAGACGAACATTCGGATCCTGAACTGATGCAGTACTTAGATGCAAGAAAAGTCACAGAGCCTGGAAATAATTTGTGAGTTGATTTTCATTCATTTTTTTTCTGTGAATCAAGCTTATGTCTTCATTTTTGCGTTACATGTCTTACGGTTTAATTCCCTTGTCACACATTTCAGCTCTACTTATTTGACGGACCTAAATGTCCGCCAGGTTCTCAATCAACTTGAGAAACGCTGTTACAGCTTAGTTGGTATGAGTGGTATGGGCCAGACATGTGTGTGGACCATGTGGAAATCGCCCACTTCTACCAACGAAGAAGAATCTGACAAGTAGTCTGCGTACCCATTACGAGAAGCTTGTGGTGTCTGTGAGAGTTTCTCATAAAAAAAGATTTTACAGATCAAAAGCTCATCTTACTTGTATCTGTATTAGACACTTGAATTCTATTAAAATTTGATTCTTGAGGCCTGTTCTTGATTCTCGAGAAAGGTAATGTGGTATTTGACAGACTGATGGCGAAAGTTCATATCATAAATGTGGCAGTCTTGGATAATCCATCAGCCTTCTTTAATCCATTTCAATTTGAGATAACCTTTGAATGTGTAGAGGATTTACAGGTATGTTACATAATGTGTATCTTTTCTATTATATAACTTTAGTCTTGGGTAGTTATTTTATAAAATAAACCAATTGATTTTGTTTTAAGGAGGATCTAGAGTGGCGTATAATTTATGTGGGTTCTGCGGAAAGCGAAGAGCATGATCAGGTTCTTGACACAGTGTATGTAGGACCTGTACCAGAGGGAAGGCACATGTTTGTGTTTCAAGCTGATGCTCCAGATCCCACAAAAATCCCAGTGGGTGATGTTGTTGGAGTCACAGTGTTGCTTCTGACTTGTTCCTACAGGTGAGAAAAGTATTCTATCACACTTTGCAGTGATCCTTTAACCTGGAGTACGTTGTAATGCACTTACTCTATGTGTTCATATTTCAGAAATCAAGAATTTATTCGTGTTGGTTATTACATAAACAATGATTATGTTGACCCTGAACTGCGTGAATCACCTCCAGCTTTGCCACAATTTGACAAACTTCAAAGAAATATTCTTGCTTCTAATCCACGAGTGACAAGATTCATGGTGAGCTACTGTTTGTAACTGTTTTATTTATTAGCACCTTGTGACTACAGTGTTTCTTTTCTTGTTATGTCATAATTGGATCTCAAGCAGCTTGTACTGTTTTGTGTTTCAGATCAATTGGGATGATGTGCAAAGTAAACCAGAAGAAAGCAAAAATGGAGTTGAGTCAATGTCAGATGAGCCGTGTTCCTCAAATCATTTCCAGTCAAACAGTAACGGTTTGGAGCCAAGGCAGTGACAGTGAAAGGCCCTTACAGCTTCATGTTTGAGGTACACCCCTTATTGCAATGTGCAAATCGTCAAGCTGCAAAATTTACCAAGAAGACTTCCATGAAATCTCCTGATATAGATATTTCCTAATGTGATACTTGGAACAGTCCTTTTCAAGAGTGCTAAGCTGTGATCAGTTTTAAGTTATTTTTATTAGCTTCTGATTTTAGTGTTCATCTTGAGTTCTTGGGCAGACTTTTCAGTCCCTTTTAGTGCATCATGTCTGAACTTTTGCTGCCAGACCGCCCAGAGGAGCCCTTGCCCTCAGATTGTTGTAATAGTGGTTGCACGCCGTGCATACTTGATGTTTATGATGATTTGGTAAAGGAGTGGGAAGATAAGTGCAATCGTTTGAAATTGGGTGCTGCTGGATTTGATGTGAATAGATCTTTTAATGAACCTGCTCTGTTTCAGACCAAGTACAGCCCTTTCAGAATAGCTTTTATCAAACCTTTATCAAATGACACTAGTATATTCCGCTTCCAAGCAGTTAAAAAAGATAGTGACTCTGATGAAATGTCGTACAGAGACCTAGAAACCAATTTGGATTTAAAACCTTCACAGTATTTAATATTACAAGGGAAAGACACTGTAGAAGGCAAAGAAAATCATTTTACTAGAGCATATACACCTATTTCAACTAGTAAGGGGTGTTTTGATGTTGTTATTAAAATGTATCCTAAAGGCAAAATGTCTCAGTTTATACAGAAGTTGGTTCTAGGAAACATAACCTTTTGGCGGGGGCCTTATGGAGGGTTTAGTTATGAGCCTAACAAGTTTAGACGCCTTCTAATGCTCTGTGCTGGCACAGGCATAGCACCTTTGTACTCTCTAGCCTCCAATATTGTTAACAATGAGGAGGATGAAACAACAATTAAAATTTTATTCTGTTGTAAAGATGAGGCCAACATAATTTTAAGAGAGGAAATCCATTCCCTTCGGTCTTTTTGGAACTTCAGTGCTGACATTTATCTACCCCATAGTTGTGCAAGTACCTGTAAACCTTTGTATGGAGAGACATTAAAGACTGGTCGTTTGGGCCAAGATGCAATTGCATCCGAGTTAAAATGTAATAGCACTAATACTTGGGTTCTCATTTGTGGGAATCCAGAGTTTTGCAAAGAAATGCATCAGTTTGTTAGCAAGTGTAGTATAAAGGCTGAACATATACACATTTTTGATTAAAGTTTATGTAATTTTGGTAACAGTTAATGATTTAAATTAAAGCTTTGATCTGTAAACCTTTGGAACTTTTTTCATAGACCATCATTCCTCCTCAGGCTAAGGCATGTGGACATGGACACTTCATGATCTGAGGGAGAGAAAGAAACAAAATATTGATTTGATTTGGGGCAACTCTAATAATAATAATAATTATTATTGTACTGAAATTAAATGTACTTACTGTATTACAGTTAGGACAAGGTCCACTTAAGTGTCCATGCACTTGTCTGCTATCAGGCATCATTTTTAACCACTGTAAAGAAAATCAAAATTAATGAACAGAATTAATGGCTGGTCAGTTGCTGCAATCATTCTGCAGAAGGAAAGTATTACAAATTCTCTTACTTCATATAAACATTCTGTATGGAAACTGGTAAGACATTTTCCACACGATTCTTCTGGCAATTTCCCCTCTAATTGTACAGTGTAGCAGATGCTACACTCTCCAGTCTCAACAGTTTGGGAGACAGCATTTGTTTCTGGAGGCGGTGGTTGAGGCAGGCTTGTCAATTGCAGCACCAAACACAAATTATCCAAAACATTGCTCTCTTGGTCCCAATCCTTAATAATAAAATCCAGAAATTAAGAGGTGATGAGTCAAATTGAATCTCTCACTTGCAATCCTTCACAGCAGGAGTGAACACAGTACCTCTAAGTGTTCCTCATAGATGCATCGAAGGGTGTCTATTTCAGCATCAGCTCCTTGAAATTTTATTTCTGGTGGTTGATTAGGCTTTAATGGATCCCATGTTAATTGAGCCATAACACTAGGAGGCGCTAAAAGAAAAAAACATAAGTTTTACAAGTAAAATAAAATGACACTAACTTTCTTCTGTTTTAATTCATTTGTAACTTACAAATAAATATTCTCCTGTACATATCAGCTTTCCGTGGGTGAATTGGGTCTAAAACCCAGCAGTTTTTGTCTATTAAAGTAAAGGAACTCCAGAGACCATTTAGGACACTAATTTGTTCACAAAAGGCTCCATATGCTTTGGTAATGTTTGGTTCCTGGAGAAGAAATTGAAAATTTTAACATGAACAAAGAAATTTTTCTTGGGCTAATTTCAAATGTAGAAACGATTTCTGTTTCATAGAACTAACCTTTTGAAGTATTTTAATGATTTTCTCTGGTAAGTCTGTGTCAATAATTTCAAAACTAAGTTTTCCAGTATCATCATTACTTATTCTTACTTTCATCACATGATCTTCTCCATTTTGGTCCTCATATTGAATGGCAATATCTCGTAAATCACTGCTTAAGGACTCTATATTAGCTGTTCCCAGCTCTTTTAATTCTGAAATAATGGCACTGTAATGTTGCAGGTTGTCGAGCTGTTCCTCGAATGGAATGGAATCTTTCTCTAAATCTAGACGGGAATTCCCACCATTTTCCAAACAGCGAATCTGAAAGTAAATCATAAGAAGGAACTTTCGATAATCTTGGTACTTGTTAAAAAGGAAGTCTATTTGCAGCCAGTAAAATAAATAAGGGGTCTATGCTGCAGTAACCTACAATCAGTCCGTGTAGGTCTTGAAGAAATGAATCCAAGAGCATTTCCTTCCTTTCCCACTGAAACCACCAAAAAATTTGCATGTTTGTTGTACTCGAAATTCTTGACATGGAGGGGGTGCACAAACGAAGATATTATACCTTGGCTAGTGTGTCTTGATCCTTGCTTAGAAGCTCTGACAACTTCCATTCTGAATGAAAAACTACACCTGTGGAATAAGGGTAGTTAGGTGCCACTATGGACACACGAAATAAAGCACCCTGTAAAAAGATATCTGATTAATTAAACGGTTTACAATTCTCTTTACGTAGCAGGAGTGTTCTGTAGCCTTACTTCTACTTCTAAGAAACCCTGATAGCTGGTATAATCTGGGCTGGTAGGTACCAACAATGGAAATAATTTTGAAATTTCCATCTGTATTCGTGTAGACAAGTCGGACGATGTCATTTTGGAAACACTCAACTCTAAATTTCATTCAGAAATTTGAGGCAGAAACCGCTGTTGTTCGGCGCCGGTTGTTAGTGGTGCGATGAGAGGGGGGTGGGGGTGGGGGAGTTTCTCAGGGTCATATTTTGCGTCTGTTTACCGCGAAACCTCAGAATTCCTTGTTAACTTTGAGGACAATAAGTCTCTTTACTATTTATTGCGTCAAATTCTTATAATTTTAATTTATGTGGCAAAGCGCGCTTTGATCTCTGTCCACATTCCATGTTTGTCGTCTGCTGCTATTGTTGTTTCCTCGCAGACCATTCTAGTGGCTGTCAACACAGCGCAGTGAGATCACCAGTTGCTTGACGAACTCAAGACATACTCGTCTAAATTTGTCTCGTTGCGCTCACGAGATGAAATGCGAATGACAAATCGCGTTCATCTCGCCACAGTCAGCCTTTCACTAAAAATAGACGAGGCAAGCTCTATTTTGGGTGCTGCCACTTGCAAATAGTCGGAACCACTAGAGCCGTCTGCTCTTGCGCTCCTACCCATAATTTTTTCGGTCTTCAAGAATGAAAACAAAAAGTGACTTCTCAGTGTTGGCTGGCTCTACTCTGTTGACAGAAAAGCCTTTTGTTCATGTATTGAAATCAAAGCTTCAAGGGGAACGATGTGATCATTGCTTTGAAAGGTAATACATAAGTCACCTAACCTTCTATTTACAAATAATCCCTTCATTATATTGCTAAATAAGGCACAACATACTTTTGTATGAATATTGACACTCTTACTCCTTGGATGTTGTAAATTGAAAATGTATTTGATTTGAGGGCGTCACTGTTTAAGGATCAGTAGTTTTTGTCAAGTTACCCTCAGCGATACAGAAACCACTAATTCCACATCTTTTTCAGGCCGGCTGTATTAATGAAAATATTTTTATTTGCTCTACTCAATGGGTTCTACAACTTTGTTCATTTGTGTACGGTAACAAAGTATATTTCCCGGCAGTGACATGTTTTCCCTACCTTGCTGTTTCCCTTCTTTAGACCAGAGCGTTTCCCACTGTGCCCCAGACTCCCATGGGACTGTCAAGATTCAGATGATGAGGGGATTTGGGATATGGATTCTCTTTGGGCTGAGTGGGTATAGCATTATGCAAAGCATGGGTGGAGCATTTGTCATGCCTCGCATTGTTTGCATTGATGTGTTTCAACCTATTATTTAATAACAGGAAAAGTAGCGATATACATCGGCAACTTTGGCCCGTCCCGTACATTAAGAAACGTACGAATTTCGCCCATGTTTGACCCTGACGGGAATTAAACCTGAGTCTGGGGTTAAAATAAATGTCGTTTTCGTCATCAGCACCCTCGAAAACATCAAAAACAATGCAAAAACTCGAATAAAAAGAATGTTCAAAAAATACTCCGCTGGGATTTGAACCCGGGTCCGAAGTTTTTCGATTCGCTCGAAACTGGCACCATTGGTTTTCTCTCGTCGTCCCGATTCCAAAAATACCCCTACATGCCCTCCTAGCTGCATCCGTTGCCGAGATCCTCCTCGACCCCATGTAGACCATGATGCACCTGCAGCAGCGCCCCCGGGGCTCGGATCGGATTTGCTGCCACCGGGCGGTTCTCAGGGTCACCCAAGGAGGCTGCATACCAAATTTGGTCAAGATCGGACCACGGGAAGTCCTCGGACGGACGGACGGACGGACGGACGGACGGACGAACGAACGGACGCACAGCAGGGATCATACTATATGCCCGTCCCTCCGTCATTTTTTTACAAAAAATAAACGGGACGGGCCAAAAATAGAATGAAATGAAGCATGGTTGAAGAGACTCAAATAATTTAACTGTCCTGTGTTTTGATTATTTATTTTGTTTTTGTATCCTGTGCATGAACCTGGTTCTATTGTGGAGAATTTCATTTGAGACTACAGGACGTCAGATAGATACAAAAATAATTCAGCGCAGGATAAAATTTGTTGTCACTGTTTAATAATTTTTAGTACAATCTATCAGAGATTCTTACAAGTTTTGTTTGTTTGTACTCTAAAGTAGAGTAGTCGTTTTTTAACACGGTCACTCGTTGTGACTCTCGACACCATGGAAAAGGCATAAATAGTTCTCATAAATGATAAAACCATTGACCAACTTGTGCACCTGTTTTTCCTCCTTTTTATTGTCCTATTTCCTGTAAATTTTTAATTTGATTGTAGAGGACATTGATGGATTTTAAATCACTAATAAGTCCTATGACCCTTTTTTTTCCCCACAGAACCAAACTATCTCAGTGTTCAGGTTGCAAGTATGTCTTTTACTGTGGGCGTGAGTGCCAGAAAGCATCTTGGCCTATACACAAAAAAGAATGTCCTAATCTTCGACGAGTTTCTCCACGGATTGTTCCTGATGCTGCCAGGCTCCTAGCTCGTATAATCTTTCGATTACAGGTGCAAAATTTGGCATTGCTTTGAACTGAAAATTTATTTCCAGTATTTTCTCATATGGATGATTATTTTTGTTTTCAGAATGGTGGAGATAAAGAAAAAAGTTATTATTCTAAAACAGGTTTTAGAATGTTCAAGGATCTCATGTCCCGTATGTAGCATGTTGAATCTAGATTTCCAATGTTCATGAAGTCTTATTGGAAGCATAGTTAAAGACACACAGTTACCGTATTTTTCAGATTACTCTGACATTAAAAAGGACTCAAAGAGGATGGAGCACTTCACATCATTATGTGCTGTGCTGATGGAATATCTTGGTGAGGGTGCACTCCCCAACTCAGCTGAGCTTTTAGGAATATATGGAAGGGTAAGCTGCTTTTCTTTAAATACTTTGAACTCAACCACCTATTAAATGCTGCACTTTAGCCTCAAAACTTATCCTTTGTTGCTTTGTTTTTTTGTTTTTTTTTTCAGATGGTTGTGAACGGTTTTAACATTTTAGATCCAGAGATGGTAAGCATCGGCACTGGACTTTACCTGGGCGTATCTATCATTGACCACTCCTGTGACCCGACGGCCCTTGCAGTGTTCACTGGCACCACAATCCACATAAGAACACTGCAGACCATGCCCATGATGGATTGGAGCAAAGTAAGTTGAATGAAGAAAGTCCTATCTCCTTCTGCAAAGGCAAAGAGGTGTCTGCATTGTATTGTTCTTTCTTCTGCAGGTGTTCATTACATATGTTGATTTGCTCAACTCTGCAAGGGAGCGACAAGAAGATTTGCAAGCTACCTATTATTTCCTTTGCCAATGTAGCCGTTGTGTAGATCGTTCAGAGCTAGAGCTTCAGAGGTCAATGCTTTGTCCAAACGTCAAATGTGGGGAGCCAGTTCCCATTTTTCAAACGGTTTGTGTTTTGTTTAAAAACTCATACTTGTGTATGTTTTGCTCAAAAGTTTTTGTCTTATGCCCTTTTTGTTCAAAACAGGAAACATATGGGAAATTGTGCACCAAGTGCAATGAACATATTAAACCTGCTCAGATCAGTGAATACCTTGATATTGTGGATTTCTCACAACAACACTTGCAGTCTATGAAAGATGTTGCTTGTATCCTTTCTCGACTGTTAACATACCAGTCACCGTATTATATTAGTTTTTGATTGTTTGATGATTTTCCTTAACATTTGGTACAGATTTAGATGTTTGTAAAGTATGTTTAAAGAAGCAGAACGGACTGTTTCATCCAATGAATTTACTTCGAGTTAAAGCTCTGGATACTGCATTTGAAAGTGCAATCGATGTTGGCTCATGGGAGGATGCCAAGAGACTTGGAGAAGAAGTTGAGCCTGGCTACAGGTTAGTTACTTTCGAACAGCCTCTATTATTGTGGACCTGGAACCTTTTAATAAATACTACGTACTGTTGTTTCTTCCAGGAAGTACTATGGCAGCACACATCCTCTCCTGGGGATTCTGTACCTAAAGCTTGGCAAGCTGAGCCTCTATCTTAACTGTGTACAAGAGGCCTTGGACTGGCTGATCAAAGGGCAGAATGTTTTGAAAATAACTCATGGTGAACGACATCCTCTCTACAGGAATGATCTCCTACCCCTCATTGCTCAAGCTCGTGAGGAATTGAGGTGATCATTCAGGTGACTGCATCATCAAGTTTATTTTTTCATTGATTGGTATGTAGTATAGGGCTGATTTGTTAGAGTTAAGTGTGACGTTAGACAATTAAAAGGTGTTGTTGAACTGTGATAGAGGTTATAATAATTGTTCAATCGGAGGATGGGATGGAATGATGTCTTTGGTGTGAAGATGTGTTTTAAAACTAACTGATTTAACTTATGATTGTCATGTAGAAAAGAATTCTGCTCTTTTCATCACAATATCAAGTAGGATGAAAGTGGCTTGCATTCCAAGATGTTCCAAGAAATTGTTCAATTTTCTGAATATCTCAGACCACAAGAATGTATCAGGATCAAGAGAATGGTAGGCTGTGTACAAGGCGCAAGATTGTTTCTTTTTGTATTCAATCGAAGATAAAAATCCTTTGTTTACGTAGAAATGCAAAGGATGGTCTGTGTATTTTGCGAAGGATGTTTCAATTAACTAAGTCATGTTCAATGCTTTTTGCCTCATTTATTGGTTTACATTATCATTCCTCAGTCGCTAAACAATAACAAAAATGATGTTTGTAACATTGATAACAATTTAAAAACTTATGAATAAATATCAACAGGTATAGGCAGTTCTGTTCAGAAGTACATTTTTATATCATTGATTGTGTTAACAGTAATTCTCTAGCAATAATTTTATAGGATGGACCAATAAGTCTTTACTGTAGGAACAAAGTTATTTTAAGTTCTTATCAGTTTTTGTTTTTGTTACTATTCTTTGTAAGTTATCTATTCTTGGACGCCTTGTTTTCTCGCAATTCCTTGTACTGAGATCATTCCAATAGCAAGGGATTTTGTGAATTTGGTCCCATATCAGTGACAGATTTTTCTTCTCTCTCCACCCTTTTTAAATTTCCTTAAAATCTTAAATGCCTTTTTTCTTCTCTGATTTTCACTGTGCTTTTTCGTCATATTCTAGTGTTGTTATCACAAATTTTCTCACAATCTTTGTAATTCCTGAAATATTTGGTCTGTTACATCTGGTGGATCTTTTTTGTACATCAATGCTGCCTCAACTGCATCCCTGAAAAGCTGAAAAATAAACAATAGAAAACAACTTAATTGTCTAATGTAAATTCTTTTATGCATTTTCTACATCCACAAAAAGTATTTTTTTGCTGAGCCTTACCTTTACAACATTCATACCATTAGAAGCTGATACATAATACAGAGGAATGCCATTTTTCTCAGGAAAGGCAAATTTCTGCTGTGTCACATCCATATTTGCTAGAGAGAGAGAGAACTTTTAATCATTAACACACTTCAGATTCATGTTCAAAGCACTGTGTAGAAGTTGCAAATTACCATCAATCTTATTGACAGCACAAAAGACTGGTATGTGGGGTCTATATTGACGTAGCTCTTTGTACCATCGCTCCAAATTTTTGTAAGTTATTTTGCGAGTTGCATCAAATACCATAATACAAGCATGCGCTTGGTGGTAGTATGATGGATGCATGGATTGAAACATCTCTTGGCCGGCAGTGTCCCAAAAGTCTGTTTAAAGACGAAAAAGAAAAAGCCATTAAGATAGATCTAGTCCATGAATGAATAATTAAAAACCACAGAAGACCCACCAACAATCACATCAACATCCTTAACTTTCGACGAGTATCTGTATAAAGTTAGAGCATAGGTCGAAATCGTCTGCGGCTTGAATTTGTCAAGCAGGAACCGTTCCAACAACCTGAAACAAGATCAGTAAAGAGGTCATGCCGGAGAATGCAGGCCACCGGCCGGGGCACCGCGACCACGGCGCCGCTAACGCTATCCTAGCCACGCCACCCTCTGCCGTTTACGTCATTCCCCGGACTCACTTGGACTTCCCGACGGCGCTGTCCCCCAAGCAGATGACCTTCACCGCCTCGGTGCCGCTGGCGCTTTTGCCGTCGTAGTCCAGCACCGTGTCGGCGTCCCCGTCGGCGTCCATTTTCAAACAAAAATTCCACTGCCTTGACTAAATCAAGTTATTGATCCCGTGACCCCGCGTGGCTGGGCGCGCCGTCGTCCGTGCCACCTGGTGGAGCGCGGCCGACTGGCAGGCAAAGCAGGCAAGGCAGCGCGGCAGCCGAGCGCAACCAAGGGGGACGGGGTCAGGCCGGTTCGACTCGTTCGACTAGGTTCGACCACCATGGCCCTTGTCATGAGGGGATGGCCGCCGATGGCCGCGATGCGGGGTCAGAAAGTACGGCCAGGACGAGGAGGACAGTGGGTGATTGGAAGCCGCGAGTAAACACTTTCTCGCTAATCACGGAAATTATGCGGCGCGCTTAACGCACAGTCCTTAAAGAAATACTTTCCCGCAAAGTCATACGGTGGACGTAGAGTCCACAGCCTGTGGACGGCGTCCGACGCACGGGGAAGTACCGCCCCCTCCCCCTTCCTCTCCACCGGCAGCACGCGCCCCTACCGGCGTGAGCCCCTCCAGTAGAGTTGAGGAATGGGCCAGCCCGGCCGGGCTGCGGGCTGCGCAGCGCTACCGCCAGCCCAGCCCAGCCCAGCCCGGCCCAGCCGGCCCAGCCCAGCCCGCGGGCTGGAGGGCTGCTGCCTCGGCTCGGCTCGGCTGGGGGGAAGACGGACAGACGCGGATGACGAAGACAGTCGGGCACCGGGCCGGGCAGCAAGCGACGGGACGGGAGCGAGCTAGCGAGCTGCCTGCGGCGCGGCCCAGCATGGCGCTGACGTCACCACGCTACCGAGAAGCGCGCTCGGAAATTTGAATCACATTGCGAATTGTAACTATTTGGTGAGGCGAGGAGCCCTTCCATGGTTACGATAGAGTGTTTACTGTTATGCTCTGTTGTCATTCATTCAAAATTTCGTATCTCGTCTCTGCCCTCTTCCCCCCGGCTACTTCGGCCAGCACGCCGGCGGCACGGCCACGGCTCGGCTCGCCCGGCGGCCGCCGCCCGCCAGCCAGCTACCCAGGCCCGGCCTGGCTCGGCTCCGGCAGCCCGCGGGCTGAGCCGAGCCCGTGGGCTCGGCCATCTTCGGCTAGCCCAGCCACCTTCGGCGACACGGACTGTCACAGCCGATACCACTGCAACAGTGGCGCTGGCCCGCCGGGCCAACCCATTCCTCATCTCTACCCTCCAGCCCCTCCAGCGGCGAGACGCCTCGCGGGGCCCCTCTCCGCGCCCCTGCCGGCACCCCGGCACCCCTGCCGGCCGGCGCGGCGGCGCGGCGCAGTCAGTCCCGACCCTCCCGCCGAGCCGCGCCGGAGCCGCGCGTGCCGGAGCAGCCGGAGCCCCCGCGACCCCGCGACGAGCTGCACCACGGCGCGCCCCGCCTGCTGCGCCCCGCCGGCGCCGCGACGCCCCGACGACGCCCCCGCAGCCCCGCCTCTGAGTCACCGCTCCACGTCAGTGCGGCTGGCCTGACGCGCCGCGGCCGACCAACCAACGGCACACTTTTAGGCAAGATTTAGCACGAATTCTAAACTAATGTCAAGGGCTTCGGAACGCACTGCGGGATTCCTAACACGCGAAGAGCAGCCATTGTAAGAGAAAAGCGTCGCGCACCTGGACGTCATTGTCGCCACTGCAGACGGCGGGGCTTCAGTGCGTCACAGAAGATGGGGCCACGCTGGACCCCCGCATCGCAGAGCGACGTGACGGGGCGCCCCCGCGTGGACTGCTGGCGGCTGCGGCCGGAATGCTGACATGTTGGCGCGGACGGTGAGTGCTGCTAGACGCTGCTTCACTTCGGGACTGGCGACGCCGACGACGCGACGCGGCTAGACGCGGCCGGTGCCGGTGGCGGCCCGGCACGAGGGCCGGCACCACATTCGCGATACTTTACTGATTTATATCGGGAAGCTGCTGCTTCGCCGCTTCAATTACGCGGCAGGTGGCGGCAACGACTTCTCGGCTCGCGGGGGGGGGGGGGGGGGCTTGCGGGGGACAAACGCCCCAAACTCCAACACAGCAGATGCGCTCCCCTGGCTCCCCCACACTGCTGCGTGGCGTGGCGCTGGCCGTGGCGCGAATGGGAGCGCGTTCAAGTACCCGCGACGGCCCGGAAAATAGCGCCCAGGCAGGGGAGGCAACGCCGCCGAACTGTGAACCGAACTGTGAAACATAAAATACCGAAAGTTTGCACCTCACTCCGCCCACGGTGTAGGGCGGCACAGTAGACACCCTCGAGACATCCTTACCGTGGTGTCACCATAGGCCGTGCCTTTAGCTTTGCCTTTGCTTTTGGCGTTGCTGGGGATGCTGCCGCAGGCCCTTGAGTATTATTAGTGGTTGTTGGTACTACCCACCCCATCGAGGCCCCCAGGCATTTCGGGCGAGGATTGAGGGGGAAGACCGGAAGGGACGCGCTGCTTGTCTCCGGGCAAGATGTGCCCCGCGCCGTGCCCGGCCGCCCTGGCCGCCGGAGTACGCATCAAACATTGTTATTCGGCTCACGGGGACCCGTCATCCCCCGCCCCGCCCCACCCCGCCCCGGCCCGCCCCGCCAGCAGCTTCCGTGTGCGCACCTCCCGTTCGCCCTTCCCCCTTTCCCCCGCCGGCCTGCTGGAACCTCTTTACTTCCCTTTTTCTCTAGTACTTTCCCCTCACGTCGCTGCCGCAATGTTGTGTAGGCAACTTCCAAAGGCGGGCGCCGTGTCGCGTCGCGCACGTGTAGGCAGTGTAGGCCTCGTTGCAGGCATCGCGTCAAACGTGGCCGCGTCGGTAGACGTAGCAGGCGCCGTCGCGTCAACTAGGCTACGCGCGGCGTGCGGCCGTTTTCGTCGTTGCGCGTCGACCGTGCCATTGCTCGGCACTGTGGATGCCACATCCTGCAAACCGTGTTCCGTGGGGCACCTTTACCCCGACTGGGCGAACGTGCAGCGCGTCCGACGCCTTCGGGGAGGCGCCGCTCTGCTGCAGTGTGGCTGCGGCCTGTGGCTCGCTGTGGCTGCTTCCGGCTCGTAATAGACAGGACGACGCCTTTTGAACGTGCGTGGCGCGGCGGGGTGGCGCGGCGGGGCGGCGCGGCGCTCCCCTCACAGTCTCCGCAGCGCGCCGCTCCGCCGCTCCGCAGCCTCGTGTGTGCACGTGCGCACGTGAGAGGTGCGGGCACACTGCGGGCGCAAAGCATTACGGCCACTCCAGGCTCGAGTACTTGTTCGTGCGGCGCGGGACTGAGGGGCTGAGGGCGGGGCGGGGCGGGGCGGGGCGGGGCGGAGCGGAAGCGTGCCCGTTAGCTCGGCGGCTTGGCGTGGCGGCTACTACACTGGGCGAAGCAGCGAAGCGGCGGCGTGCCGATCGGCGGCGTGTCCATGGCGTGTCGGCGGCCACTGGCTGCCACTGGCTGCCAGCCTCTCCTCATGCGATGGACCACGCCCGCCATGTTTCATCGCCCCCTCCCCTCCCCTCCCCGTCAATGGGGGAGAAAAACGGCCAACACGCCCAAATTCTCCTTCCCCTCCCCTCCCCTTGGCGCGCCTTGGCGATGCAGGGCGGCGGCAGTCGTTCCGTTCGGGGTCCAGTCACGTTGGGGGCTTGTCGATGATCAACTCATTTCTGGGGAGGGGCGGGGAGGGGCGCCGGCCAAGCTGGTCTGTTTGCCGTGGTGCAGCGACGGCGAGGCGGGGCGGCGCGGGGCGGGGCGGCGCGGGGCGCGGCCAGCCCGGCCGGCGAGGAGGCCCTGCAGGTCCTCGAGTCTCGAGGCCCGAGGCGACCGTAAATCGGACCGAGTTGGACAGGTGCAGCGCGGCGCACGAGGCGGGGTGCACGAGGCGGGGCTCGGGCGCGGGGCCGAAGGTGTGACAAAGTTGTGCAGCGTCTGTCTCTCTCCCTCCCCCTTTCCCCGCACCATCTTCCGCGTGTTTTGTTCCGAGGCGCCAAAGTGAAGCATCAGCATCCGGCCGCTTCTTGTCTCCGCCCCGCCCCGCCCCGCCCCGCCCCGGGCGACTCGACTCATTCCGGCCCCTGCCTCAGCCGTGCAGGCTCATTCCGAAACGGCGCTTGCTCGCGCTGTCTCTCTCGCACGCACGGGGCGCCTCGTGTCCTCCAGGGGTGCGAGAGAGACAGGGCGGCGAAGCTCCGTTTCGGCATGAGGCCGCGCCGCTCCCCCGCGTCTGGCGCGCTCCCCCCGCCACCCGGTTTAGGCTGCATCTCGAGGAGCGAGGATTTGTGGCCGTGTTTGCCCGCCTTTCTTTCGCTGTCTTTATCCCGCAAGCGCCGCAAGCGCCGCGAGGTGCGGTGGCGCCGGCGACTCTCCGCGTGGATTTAGGGGCCGCGCCCCGCCGTCGACCCCCCACCCCCTGTCGCTCCGTCTCTGTCGCACTCGCGGGGCGTTCCGGGGCGTTCCGGGGCGTGCGAGAGAGACGGAGCGACGGCTTGGCTGGCGCTGCTGCTGTTTGCCTCCTCCTGCGGCCCTCGGCTACTCTCGGCCGCTTCTTTACGGAGCTAGTTACAATTAGAAAAGGAGAGGATGCAAGGCGAGCCCCCAGGCGGCGGTGACGAGCCCGAGCAGACAGCCAGGCAGGCAGGCAGGCAGCCAGGCAGAGGCGACGCTGGCCGACGGCAAGGCAGCCGCACCGCCGCGGACCGCGCCACCGGGGCGCCGCGCGAAGGGTTGCTTTAGCACCATGAAAACTAATGCGGTGCTTGGCGCCTGGCGCTTCGAGGGCTCCGAGGGCCAACGCCTCGCCGACGGGCCGACAGCCACCCGCCCAACAAAAACAAGCAAAAACGCGGGACAATGAATCGACTCGTCCAGCTATTAATGAGGCAACGCCGCGTGAATAAGCAATGCATTTGGCAGTGCATTGGCAGTGCAGACGTCGCTCGCAACAATGGGGCAGTGGCAATGACACGGCACACCGGCATTCCGCACCGCGATCGCGATCTGCGCCGCCCGGCACCTCGACCCCCCGCACACGCAGGATCATCCCGAACAGTGGTCAGCGTCGCGCTGTCTCTCTCGCACTCGAGGGGCGTCCCGTCCCGGCGCGGCGCGGTGCGACGCGGTGCGAGAGAGACAGCGCGATAAGCTCCGGCCAGACCATTCGGCCATTCGGCCCGATGTTCCCATTATAAATGCATTTCCCTATTTTTCCCGGCCTGTTTTATTGGCCTGCCCGCCTGCGGGGGCGCGCTGTGGGGGGGGGGGAAGCGGGAGAGGGGCATCGGCCATTTATATAATCGAACGCAGTGGCGGCGGGGCGCCTGATTGGAGCCCAGACCACCCATCACCCATTGACTGCGAGCACATTCGGGTAAAAGCTGTAATGGTCGCGCCTACTTTCACCTCATTTTCCAGCGACTAATGTTTTATTTTCCTGTTTCCCCACTTTTTTGCGGTCGGTTTGTACGAGGCCAGCACACTGCGTGCAGCGTGCAGCGTTTAGCCCCTTACGAAGGCCGGGTAGGCAACGCGCGCACCTCTGCGTGTGACGGGCGGGCCTACCCGCCGCATTCCGTTACCATTGCCATTACGGGCTACACCAGAACCGCCGGGCGGCACACTGGCGCAGCGTGGCCTCGCCCAGCACTCTGCTTCGCGCTGGGGTTCTCGCCGCCTGTCTCTCTCCCTCCGTCAGGGGACCCTTCGTGAGCGGGAGAGAGAGGCTTCCCGCTCGGAAAGAGTCCGCCGTGCACACCGGTGCCGCACCTGCCGCACCACTGCAACAGGTACTACCGCCGGCGAGGCGTCGCGTGTCAAGGCCCGCCGCCGGTGAAACGCTGCTCTCTGTTTCCGTCGGAATCGAATCGAATCGACGGCGGATTACAATATTCCTGGAGGAAAGCTTTCCCGAAACTTGGCCGGCCCCGCCTCCGGCTCCTTCCCATTCTAATTCTTTTCTAAAAGTATACGGCTCCGTGGCGGCGGTGCCCTTACGGCGCCCCCGCGCGCCCCGCGCCGCTCCGTGGCCGGCATCTTAATGGCGAGAAATTAAAGTCTTCCGATTTCATATTTTATTGCGGGCGTTATAACTCACTCTGGCCGCTCGCATTAGCATATTAGTTTTCTCCGCCGCCTCGCCGCCTCGCCCGGCCGCCCAGCAGCAGTCATCGTTCTGCCGTTTCGCAGCGACGCCTCGAAACATTCCTCCTCCCGTTTCCTGGAGGCTGCGGACTCGTCGCTCTGTCTCTCTCGCACTCACGCGGCGGCCCGTGTAGGTGCGAGAGAGACAGAGCGACGAGGGCGCCTCTCGGAATCCGACTGCCAGGGCTCCTCTCCAAGAGCGGCCGTTCCGTTCCGAAAGGCGAAAGGCGCGGCGGAGAGTTGTAATTGGCCGCCCTGGGCCCCGGGCATTGCCCCTGCCGGCCGACTCCGAAGACCATCGCTCTGTCTCTCTCGCACCCGTGGTGCGCTCCATGGGGGCGCGAGGGAGACAGATCAGCCTGTGCCGCCTGGCAGGGTAGGTTGTCGGGCCTGGCCCTCGGCGTGGCCGGATAGGTAAATCGGAAAGGGGAGGGACCCCGATAAGGCGCCGCTTCCTGCCTCCCCGGCCAAGGCCGCCGCGGACCCCCACGCCACGCCCACGCCACGCCCACGCCATGCCCACGCCGCGCGACAAGTTCGAGTCATCTTATTAAAGGGGGCCATAATTTGACACAGCGACCGGCCGGGCCGACTTGCTGCGGAGCGCGGAGCAGTGCAGGCGGCAGCGACGCGCTTTTTGCCGCCCCCACTTTGTCACGCAAACTTAAATTAAGTAAAGGTGACACTCGGTCGGTCGGCGCGTGGCGTGGCGTGGCGGGGCGGGGCGGGGGGTATGGAGTGACAGGGGGTGGAGGAGGAGGCGGGCCGGGCGAGAAGGGGGATTAGGGTTGACAGTGGTGTTACGGCGAAAGCGTCTGTATCAGCGGGGCGGCGGTAGCGGTCGCACACACCAGCTGAAACCGTGGTTCTTCTCCTTACGTTAGTTCTATCGCCGATTCCTGTGGTGGTAGAAGGCACCACAAGAGACGCTTCCAGGCGGAAGGGTCCGGGTTCAACAACCACCCCTCATTCGTTTAATCGCGTCACCAATAGACATGATTAGTCAGCCGTTATCGGCACATTGAAATGAACCCTGGCGCGCCCCGCTGGCGGGGCGGGAGGCCCGGGCGGCATGGCGGCATCCGAGTCCTGTCGCTGCTGTCCCTGCCTCGCCTCTCGGCCCCAATTAAAAGCAACCCGAGCCTGCCGACGTCGCTGTAGCGCGTCGCCGCGGACAAGAAGGGGCTGTTTGCAAAACACGAGACACGCGCCCTCCTCGTCTTCCTCGTGCCCCGCCGCCCCGCCGCCCCGCCGCACCGCCGCCCCGCCGCCCCGCCGCCCCGCCGCCCGCCGCCCCGCCGCCCGCCGCCCCGCCGCCCCGCCGCCCCCGCCCCGCCGCCCCGCCGCCCCGCCGCCACGCCGTCGCCAAATCTCTCCCCGGCGGCGCACCAGGTCTCGCGGATGTAGTCATTTCAACTAACTTAATCTGTCGCCATAATTTTGGCCGCCCCACGTGTCGGCGTGTCGCGCCGTATGGCGGCGGGGGCGTTGGGGGCGTTGGGGGCGTTGGGGGCGTTGGGGGCCGTGGGGTGGGGGAGGCGCGGCGCATCTCTGCCCGGGAATGATTGCAGTTAAATTCATCTGTTTATGGGCGGGTCATGTGGCGTGCGCGGCGTGCGTCGGCCGGGGCGTGGAGGGAAAAGAGGGGGGGGGACCTAATGGGGCACAAGCCTCCAAAGCCGCGACTAAGTCGCGGCTAAGCCGATGACACAGGCCGGGCTCGGCCGGGCTAGGCCGTCGCCGGACCCCTGCAGCCGGTGCGGTAGGCAGCCCGCCAAGCGGAGAGAGGCCAGGCCGAGGGCCAGGCCGCCAGCTGGGGTGCCCCAGGGTGCCCTCTGCCCCCGTCCCCCCTCCATTTGGGGCCCGCTGGCTGGCTGGCTGGCTGGCTGGGGTTTCAAACGCCAAGCAAACACCGCGGTGCTGCAGCCGTGGCGGTGGCGGGCCGTCGAGGACTTAACCTGATTTACTGCGTGACCCATACACACGCGCCTGGCGGCGGATCGGAACGGCAGCAGCGACGGTTGCACGCAAATAGTTCCTTCCTTTGGCTGCTCTTTTTCGAAACGAAGTTTCTCCGTGTGTTGCGCTAAAATTTGCAAAGGCGTTGCGCATTTTCCTCCTTTTTTTGGGGGTGTGAAACTTTCGGGGAGTGTGACAGCGCGGCGGCGCGTGGAGACAGCGGCGCCGGGCGAGCCGCGGCAAGGCGTGGGGCGGCGGGGGCGAGGTTGTTTTTCACGTCACGTGGGCCGCCCCGCCCCGCCCCGCCCCGCCCCGCCCCGCCACGGCAGAGGCGCCGCGCCCTCTTCCGGCGGCATATTGCAAAATCACGAAGGTCGAGGGGCACGGCCCGCACGGCCTGCACGGCGGGCGCTGGCGGGACGGCGCGCCAATTGGCCGACACCTCCCCTACGGCCCCTACGGCCTACGGAACAGCAGCTGTTCCCCTCCTCGGTGTGCTGCGCGAGCATGCCGTGGCGTGGCGTGGCGCGGCGTGGCGTGGCGTGGCGTGGTGTGGCGCGGTGTGGCGCGGTGTGGCGTGGTGTGGCGCGGTGAGGCGCCCCCTCAATGACACGTGGGCCGCTCGTGCCGCCACACGTGCCGCGAGGAAACTGCAAAAAAAGAAGAAGGTGCAAAAAAAAAGAGAAAAGCTTTGTAAACCACGAGGCGCGGGGCGCGCCGTAAAAACACACAAGTCAAGCAGCAGCCTGCTCTTCTCTCTCTTCCCTGCCCCTCGCCTCGCCTCGCCCCGAGCCTCGCCCAGACAGTCGGACAGATGGACGGACGGATAGACGACGACGGGGAGGTGTGAAAGGTGCGAATGGCTTTCGGGGCGGCGGGTGGCGGCGGTGGAGGGAGGCTCACAAAAGCAGCGAGATAGCGCGCGGAAGCCCCAGTCCCGTTATCAGCGAGAAGGCCAAGGCGGAATCGCCGAGGATCCGCCACGGCGCCATGGCACCACGCCGCGGGGCCTGCAGTGTGGGCCCTGCAGTGTGGGCCCTGCAGGCCCCACGGGCCCTGGCCCTCCAGGTCGGCCACCCTCGCCACGCGGGGCCCTTCGGAAACCCCGAACACTCTAGCAGGCAGCGTGCAGATCCGACGGACAGGTTCCGACGGGTTCCGACCGCCGGCCTGACCAACCGCGGCGGCGGCCGGTGCAGGCCACAGCTCGGCACGGCTAGTACCAAAGTACCAACACCGGCCACCTCGCTCGGGTCTATATATTTTGTTTCATACACAATTTTAATTACTATCTTTGGAATGAGCCCGCATACTACCCCGTATAAGGAAACCGAACGAGTATTGACTGAGAAATTTGAAAGGGAAAAAAAAAAAATGGAACTCTACACCCCCTCCCCAGTCTTAATGGGGAGGCCTCCTGCTTTACTTCGGTGTTCGGGATGGGAACCGGTGCTATCAGGTACCTGGGGTTAATCCCGTCAGCGACCCTAAGCGTTCGCCGGGGGACCCAGTAGGACCCCAAAGCTCAGGCAGCTGGGTGGGAGCACCCAGTACGAAGCTCTTAGAGGGGCGGGACGTAGAGTGAGACGACAGAGAGACAGAGAGAGACTCAGACAGAGAAGAGGTTTGGTGGGAGCTTCTTGTTTTCGTAGGGTTGGTTGTGTACCCCATGGTACCCCCACTGTCCGGCGCTCCCGTACCGAACATACAGCGTTTTAGGCCAGCTTCAAAGGACTTATCATCGCCTCCCCGACAAGTCAAGGAGGCACCACCCGCAACCACACACCGGGTGGTCTGGATTGATGGATCAAATACGCCATCGCTCCAGTGCCGAGGCCAACCCGCCGAAGCGGATTGCTTTTTAGACACCCACAGCGGAGTGGCCAGGTGAATGTGACTCTGACCACTACGCTATCACGCTTGTACGTCTGGTAGCGTGTTGGACGACGGGTTTGAGTTGCACTGGGAGGAAGGCGGTCGAAAAATGTATTGAAATGATGGGATTCGATCCCCGGACCCCGCCATCGGGATCACACGACTTTACGCTCTCGGCCACCACGGCCCATGATGAGGGGTCCGGCGTGAGGTGGGTTCTTGACGCAACAGGACTCGACTGACCCGGTCAAAATTTCGCAAGAGGTTGGGGGAGTTGAACCACCGACCCTAGCATTGGGAATCGACGCCTCTACTCCCTGGACCACCACGTCCCATGCAGGGAGCGGGCTCACGTTTACGGGTTTCAACCGCACTGGGTGAGGCAGTAAAATTAAATGGAAATATTTGTTAGGAGTCGAACCTCCGGCATGTGGGTCTGTTGCACACGGCTCCGCTCGGATGGCCTCGAACCACCACCCTTAGGATAGTAAGTCGAAAAAACGTAAGTGACGCTGGTATTCGAACGCCCGCCTGCGGTAACTCGACCCACGTCTCTAACCTCTCGGCAATCACAGCAGTTGTGAAACGCGACGGATCATCTGCTTTCATTAACGTTCGTTGAATGAGATTTTTTCGAGTGTAACGGATGTCTGTGTGTCCTTTTCGCAGGCCGAGGATGAAGCAGGCGACATGACTCAAGCAGCCCATGCCAAGCAACCCAAGTACTCGCCCAATGAGACGGTTCAGGTGAGTTCTTCCTACAGCGAGCGTGCAAGGTGCCTAAACCAGCCCCAAACACGGAAATTGGGCTTTAGTTTTGCCAGTGTGGGCGCCGCCCGGCGCCGCCACTGCCTTACTCCAGCAGGCCTCGCAGCCGGCGCGTCGACGCGACATGTCCGGCAGAGTGTCCTTCGCGTCGCGTCGCGTCGCGTGTCCGCCGGCCGTTTCACACCTGAAAACTCACACGAAATACTTTACGGGCGACTCTGGCCTGGCCAGCCGGGCGGCCGGGCCGGCGGGGGCAGGACGGGGCCGGCGGGGGCAGGACGGGGCCGGCGGGGGCGGCCCGCGCGCGGCGCACGCAACGACAGCCCCGCCAGAAAGGCCCAAACGGGCGCCGCTTGCCTCTGGCCGGCCCGGCTCGCCCGCCGAGCTGCCAATAAAGCCACAGTAATAATTTCCGCGCGAGGGGCGACACCTTGCCGCCCGCCGTGCTTTTTACGACTCGAAATTAACTCGCCCGGAAGCAATGATGTCGACTCGGATTGCGGATTACGGATTAGGACAAGGTGTCGATGGCGCCGCGCCGCCGGGGAGGGGGAAGGGGGGGGGGCGTCTCCAAGGGCCGCCCGCCTGCAGCTCGGCTGCTTAGGGAGGGGAGAGTTTCCAGTTTCCAGGACTGTGGCGGTGGTGGCTCGTGCTGCTGAACTTGAACTCCCTCGTGTCCCTGACCGCCCCTGCTGCCGTCTACTACACTGCACACTTCCACTGACTCGATTCATATCCCTGGAACCGCCCTGGAACAGAGTCGGCCGGCCCCGCCTCCCGTAGTGTACACATTCCCACACGCCCCCCAAACACACTCACACTCACACACACGCACACACAGTGGTGCGACTCGCGCTCGCCGGCTGATAAGCGGGAGCCTGTCGCTCCGGCCAATGGCAGCCCCGCCACAAAGTCTCGCATTTTATTAGTCAAACAACACACCGCTAGCGGCGCTCCCCGGCTTCATTTAATTATCTAAATAGACCACCGGAACAAGTGGGGCCCGCGCGCGCGCCCCGCGCCCTGGCAGGCTTGCGGCCCCTTCGCTGTATACTTGGCTGTACCCGAACGCACCGCCACGCACGGCGCACCTCCGCACGGCCAACTCGGCCAACATAAACTGCGGGGACAATGAACTGCGCGCCAAACTTTGCGCCCATCCCCCAGCGCCCCCATGCCCCTCCCCAAGCACACACGGCCGGCAACTTGGCGCCGCTTTGCGCGCGCCACTCTCGGCAAGTATTTAAATCCGTGCGCTGCACTGCAAGGCGGCAAGGCGGCCACCCTCTGGCCCCGCGCACCACGCACCGAACGGCCGCGCTCCGCGCCCCGCGCCCCGCACTGCTAGCGCGCCACTACACCCGCTTGTCTCGTATGTTGCTGCCAACATAACGGGTAATAGTAAACTACCGAATTAGGAGGGTCGCTGGGGTCGCGCGGCGCGGCGCTGCCAGGCCGTGGCCAGGCCGTCCTCGCGGCGCGCCGCCGAAGGCCCTGGAGGGCGCGAAGCATGCCAAGCAGTCCCCGAAGGCCCCGCCGCCCTGAAGGCCCTGAAGGCCCCGAAGGGCGCGCAGGGAAAACACGGCGCGATCTGATTTACGGGCAGGTTAATTAATTAGGAGGTGTCATACCTGCATCCGGGCCTGGCGGCAGCCAGCGGCAGCGGGAGAGTGATTTACAGTGTGGTCACACTGCAGCCCGCGAGCGGCAAGCAAGCGTGCTCAGGCCGAAGCCGCGGCCGGCTTCTGAACGTCCGACGTCCCCGCGCGAGGGAAGCACTTCCCTGGGCCGTTTGAGAAGCGAGTCTAAAAGTGCAGTGCGATACAACTGTCCTGTCGCTGGCCGAACGCTGCCCGGGAACTCGGACACGACGGTTAGTTCCTCTTCTGTAGAGCAAGGCCGTGGGAGGCGCCGCCACCAGTGCCTGTCGAAAGCCTCGGTGAAAGCCTCCGCGATCAAACACGCGCGCGCTTTCGGAGGGCTTTCGGAAGGCCTGGAGTAGTGGCGTAATGCAGCTGTAATTGATACACTACCTGCCCGGGGGGGGGGGAGGGGGGGGGAGGGGCGGCGCTTGTCGGAACGGCTCCCTCACATGCGACGCGGCGCCCGGCCCGCCCCAGGCCCGCCCCAGGCCCGCCGCGCCGATTATTTATTTTAAAATGCGGGTAGGTTTATAGTGCCCCTGCAACCTGAATACACGAGTACACGAGTAGCCGGGTGAACGGCGCACTCGAGCGGGAAAGTTAAAGTTGAAGCGGCGGCCTGGTCGGTGGCGGCCGGCATGGCACCGACTGGCTCGGCGTGCCTTCAACATTGGGGCCCACACTGGCGGGCCCAGCGCGCGCACCCCTCACTCAAGGAACAAGTGCAGTTGTAATTAAAAGAGAGGGAAACGAATTAGTTTGGTAGTGGGAAGGCGGAGCGCGGGCTCGACACGAGTGGGCAAAGTAAAGAGCTCGGCACGGGGCTTTGAACCCAGGAACCCAGGGGCACATCTCTCATTCAACCGTCCCCAAAACCACAGCGTCAAGCTCCTTGCATCGTTGTTGACTGCTGGGTTCTTCGAATGTCAGTTTTTCTCCCCTCAGTTTGCCGGGAGGTCTTCCCGTGGCCGCAGGGGCAGGACAAGGAGAGGCAGGGGAGTAGGGCCGCCAAAAGCTTGAAGGAAGCGCTGCCTAGGGTTGCCGCCAATTACGCTTCTCTTTACGAGCGGCCAGGTGGCCCCCCTAGCGGCCCCCGCTCCGCGTGATCCCGCCGCATGAAACAATGAAGCAGGCGTGCAAATTACTGCACTCTCCGCGGCCGCCGCCACCGGGAGGAAGAATTGTCGGCTAATTTTATTAGACAACTTTACGGGGGACTCTAGAGGCGGCCGTTTGCGGCGGTCGCCCGGCGGGGCCGCATTTTTCTAACCCCCGCGGCGGCGAAGCAGGTGCAGCAGTGCACACACACGTTGCATGTCTCACGGCAAGGCCCCCGAGCCGCCTGCCCGCCCTGCCCGCCCCCCGTGCGGTCCCCAAGCAGGGGCCTACCCCCGCAACTGCAGGCCGGATAAAATGGCCCGAGTGCCGACCAAAACAAAATTATGACAAAGCAGCAGACTCATTGAGCTAGCCGCAGACCGCTCCACTGCAAGATTCGAGTGCAGGGACGGAGCGGCTCCGCAGCGCGCACCTCGCGGGGCCGGGCGGGGCCGGGCGGGGCCCCTCGGCGACGCGCCCCGTCTCGTCTAGGGTGGCTAATAAAGGAGGCGGGCGAGGCGGCCCTGAAATATGGGCTAATTTGACAGTGTCAGCGCCAGAGTTGCTGCAGTCCGCCGCCAGGGCGCGGCAGCGCGGCACGTACTGTACGCGAGCCGGGAAGCGAAGGCCGGGCCATCGCGTCTGCGTTCGGCTCCACCGCTCCTTCCTCCGCGGGGCTTCCCAGCGCCTTCCCACGAACAGACTGATGCCGAGAGTCGGTTTCGTCGCTCTGTCTCTCTCGCACTCATGGGCGGCCCGCATAAGGTGCGAGGGAGACGGGCAGACGAAAGCGACTCTCGGAATCAGTCTGCTGCTTCTGGCCCCACCGGATCTGCCAATCAGCGCGGGCGCCGCGAGGCAATTTAAATGTCAGCGCCAAACGCGCTGCGGCGGCGCGGCGGAGAGCGGACGACGCCTTGCCGACCAATAGCCGGGCGGGACTCGAAACCCACCAAATTTCAGAGCGGCATGATGGCGCGCCGGCCGAGACTTTCCCCGAGTGAAGCTCGACAACTTTGCATGGTCGTCGTCGTGGTGGGGCCACCGGCAAAAACTCGGGGGGATGTAGGAGGGGGAAGATTAGGATCATAGGGCAACCGGGTGAAGCGTGGCGGGGCGTGGCGGGGCGTGGCGGGATGCCTGTGGCATTGTAAGAGGGAGAAATGGAGAGGGCTGTGTAATGTGAGTGCTGCTGCGAGAGAGAGCGCCCCTGTCGTCCCAACCAACGCGTTGGCCGCCCCGCCCCGCCCCGCCCCGCCCCGCCCCGCCCCACCCCGCCCCGCCGCCCCCTCGGAATGGAAGTGGGAATTGAGGGGGCGGAGGCGGCCGAATGCGGCCGAATGTTTCCAAAGTGGCCCGCCCCGCCCCACCACCGCCGTGGCTTGCTGCTTGCTGGCCTCGGCCACCCCGTCGGTCTGACCGCCACGGTCAGGCCACGGTCAGGCGCGCGCCCGGGGAGGTAATTCCCTGGCAGTTTTTGTCCTGCTCTTGTTCCTTCCCACTCTATATTTAGGACGCTTCACCCGAAAGTGCAACAGTTTGCCCGGCCGCGGTCGCCTCGCAGATTGGACCCCGTGTCGCTAGAGGCACCGCAGGGTGTTCTTTCGCCGCCGAGGCGTTCAACTTCTCGTACTTGTTGACCTGCCTGCTACTGCTGCGCCACGGAGCGTCCACCCGCCCCGCGTTCCCCGACGCCGTCCCTCCCCTCACCGTGTCGCCACACTAGCAAGCAAAAATTCCCCAAGATACGAGTGTCCCCTGATAGAACTGGGACGTCACTCGGAAGTCATTTTGCACATCCAAATTCGTCCCAACTCTTCCAATTCCATCCGTGTTCGTCCAAATACGTCCATTGACTTCCCCAGTCGTCCAAATGACTTCCAACGACGTCCCCCGACTTCCCTTGACGTCCCCACCACTTCCCTTGTCTTCCCACGACTTCCACCGACATCCCTGCCACTTCCATTGTCTTCCCACGACTTCCACCGACTTCCCGCCATTTCCATTGTCTTCCCACGACTTCCACGGACATCCACGCCACTTCCATTGTCTTCCCACGACTTCCACCGACATCCGCGCCACTTCCAATGTCTTCCCACGACTTCCGCCGACGTCCCCGCCACTTCCATTGTCTTCCCACGACTTCCACCAACATCCGCGCCACTTCCATTGTTTTCCCACGACTTCCACCGACGTCCCCGCCACTTCCATTGTCTTCCCACGACTTCCACTGACATC